ACTTAATCCTTTATCCGGGACTGACCGCCCGGCAGATCCTCTCTTCACCATTCTCCCCGACTCTCTCCCACCTATTCTTACAGGGCGATCGTGGTGTGGTTGGGCACTTCTCCGTTCCAGCGGCTTTCTGAGGCACCAACACACAGCTGCTGGTCTGGAGGGAGGGCCGCCCAAGTGACCAGCACGGTTTCTGGCCTCGTCGCGATGCGCATCTGCTGCCCGGCATAGTCGGATGTGTGTGGCGCCCGCCGTCTGCCCTCCGCTGCTCCTCACGGTGCTGTCCTTGACCGCGCTCGCCCTCACGCGCAGTGCCGCCCACGGCCACTCCCACTCCCACTCCCGTGCCTTGTGCTTGTCCCTCTCCCGCCCAGTCGCATTTTTATTTCCTTCTTGTGCATCGACCTCTCCCTCCTCCTCGGCATTTGGTGGTGCCAGCCACCGTCATTTGTCATCAGTGTCAGCTGCTGCAGTGCCACCCTCATCGGCACCGGCGGCGGCCATGTCGGGGACGCCCATGTCGGGGACGCCCAAGAATGACCCGATTGTCCAGTATGTCGTCGTCAGGAGGGACCTCATCACGGTAACTAACTAACAGGCAGGGAGGCAGGGAGGCAGGGAGGCAGGGAGGCAGGGAGGCAGGGAGCACCAAGCAAAGCAGTGTGGTTGGTTGAGGACATATTGATTGGTGTGTCTGTTTTCTTCTGTGTGTGTATTGTGTTGTGTGTCAGGATCTGAAGTGGCCGATGGGCGCGGTGATAACGCAGGCGTGTCATGCCAGTCTGGCGGCGGTGGCCGAGACGCTGACTGACCCGGCCGTCCAGCAGTACCTCAGCGACCTCGACAGGATGCACAAGGTCGTGGTGGAGATCGGCAATGAGAGTAAGTCAAGTGAAGTGAGCCAGATCTCCAATCATCACATCACATCGATGTGTTGGATGCACACAAGAGCGTCGTGTGTGTTGGTGCGTGTGTGTGTATGTGTGTGTTAGATGATTTGCGTCAGCTGTCGAATGCGTTGTGTGAGAAGGCCATCCCCCACAAGCTGTGGATAGAGCAACCAGAGAATATCGCCACTTGCCTCGCATCAAAGGTGCGCACACACGCATCCAAGTGCAGGTGAGTCCATCTGTCTGTCTGTCTGTCTGTTCTGTTGTGTCATAACTGCCTGCCTCAGCCTGCGCTGAAGACAGAGATCAGCGACCACTTCAAGCGGTTGAAGCTGTTCAAATGAGGACGGGATGGTGGACTGCCGTTGGATTGCCATTTGTCATGTTATGCATACATATTGCTGTCTGTCGGGGTGGCTGGCGGGCTGGCTGGCTGGCGGGTGGGTATAGCGAGTGGGGTGAGTATACAGATACTAGTTGAGACCCATTTTTCTTCGATCCATCGATCGATCGATTGATTGACTGATGGGACACCCACACTGGCTGCCATGCCCTGTGTACAGAGTGCGTGCGACACATGCGTGCATGCAATGGACTGGATGATGCGATGCAATGCTCCCGATCGATCAATATAGGTAGCGATGCGAGAACCATTTCCCATGAGCAAGAGAGAGCGAGAGGGGGCGGCGGGCCACATGTTTGTGTGTCTGTCTGTCTGTCCGTCTGTCTGTCTGTCTGTATGTCCATTTCGTCAGTCAGCCTTTGAGCCGATGACATGACGATGGACCGCACCCCTCCTCTCCTCCACCATACCTCTCTCCCTTTTCCCTCACATGTCATGTGTGTGTCCGTCCGTGCCATTTTCTGTGCTTGTGGGGTGTAATAGTACGTATGTTGATGGATGGATGGACACGTGGTGCATTCTTGCCTTGCATCATCGACTCACTCACTCAGTCACTCTCTTATCGGTCGCTGTACTTGGCCAGGACGGTGTGTCCGCTCTTGTTCTTGGCCAGAGAGATGAGGCGCTGCGCCTGACGGATGGAGGGATCGATGGCGGCGTTTTGACATACACATGGACAGACAGACAGACAGACAGATGTGGATGGATGGATGGATGGATTGATGGGACGTGTGTGCATTCATTTGTAAAGTGTCATGAGATGATGGCGCCACACCTGTTGTTGGAACACGGCGTGGTGTGACACACAAATCACCTGAGCCGCACACGCACACACACACACACGGGCATACGCATGCACACTCACACGCATAATAGCAAGCAAGCCGCTGGCTGATGTAGCTACCTGCGTCATGTTGGTGAACTTGTGTCTGAGCAGCGAGGCGAGCGCTTGGGTCATCTTCTCGTCCGAACTCGCCTGCACGCCCCCGACCCCACCCCAACCACAAGAGAGATACACCACCACACACACAGAGTATGCAATGCAGATAAGTGAGGGCGTCTCTGTGCACACATCTCTCACGTCAGCTTCATCGAGAATGTAGAGAAACGACGAGCGGTTCTGAGCTATCGCCAACAACTGCACAGTGGACAAACAGAGAAGAGCACAGGAAATGGCCATAAATGGCTGGAGTGAGTGAGTTATGTCGCGCCGCCATACGAATGCGACACTGAGTAGGGTTCGCTGTCCGCCTGAGAGCTCTTCCAGGCCGTCCTTCCAACCAGACACATCACCACCTACACACACGACCACACGGACGGACACGATGGCTGCCTGCCTGTCTGCCTGGCTGATGAGTAGTCTAACCCACCTTCTAGTTTGTTTCTGACGCGGATAGCAACGCCCTGCAGCAAATCTGAGCTGTCGTTCATCACAAAGTCAATCTGCGACAGCCATAATACGACACGACAGACAGAGGGGATGGGATGTGCGGCCGGCCGGAGACACGCACCTCTTTAGACGGCATCAAACTCTCGAACAAATCCTGGCGTCGAGAGATCAGCAAATGGTGGGGCCGGTGCTGTGTGTAGGTCGCGTCGGCTACCTTTGTGAGTTCCTTGACGCGTTTGAATGACGTCTGGTGCAGCGTGTGGATCTTCTCCTTCTCAGACTGAATGCCTGAAGGCATACACTTATTTGATGCCCATCATGGGCCGGATGGATGGATGGATGGATCCGTGTCTCATCGCTCGCCTTGGATGACGCAGGCGATTGACTCTTCGATGACCTTGCGGTTTGCCTTGAACGCCTCCAGCTGACGCAACACATCACGAGCCTGCTCGTCTGACCATACACGTGTGAGGAACAAAGCCTCATGTCTCGAATCGACATGTGCCATTCTTTTCTGCTCTCCCACCGAGTGCGTCGCCCCCCGCGCTCTCCTTCTTGATCTGCAGCTGCTTGCTCTCCGCTGACAACTCCAATAGCCTGACATGTGACAACGGGCACATGAGAGTCGTGTATATCGTGTCTGTCTCTTGCCCACATACTTGCGTTCGACGTGGTCAATGTGTTTCTGGCTGATGCCGCGGTGGTGGTCCCTCATCTGTGTGGGGTGGTCGTCACTGCCAGCAGCGTCGCCAGCCTCCTCACGGAGGTCCTCGAGGGCGGCGGCACACTCCTCACGACTCACATGGAGACGCTCAATGTCGCCCTACATGCACAACAGACAACACACACACACACATAAGTGGACGGATCTCCTGGCTGTGTATGGGTGAGCACCTCTAAAGAGGTTTTGGCCTCCTTTCTGTCCTGTCTGTCCTTGTCCATCTGCTTGAGGGTCCTGTCTGTCTTGACGAGCGACTGCTGGACGGCCTCGAGCCGCTGCTGGTTGGCCTGCTGCCGCTCAGTGACGACACTCAGATCGGCGGCATAGCGCGCCGCATCAGCCTGACACACCCCACGCACATACACAAAGGAGACACACATGGTGGGCTGGGTGTGGTGGGTGTGTCCGCCACACCTGGAGTGTGGCTGCCATGTCTTCATCTTCGTTGTCAGCACCACCTGCGATGCACTCCATCTCTGTGCGGCTCTCCTCCTCCTTAGCAATCAGGCCGTCGATCTCCTTGCGCAGCCGACCGATAGCGTCACGCGCCTTCGACACATCTGCACACACACCACAGGCAGCCAGCTTTGCAGACAGTGAGGACAAGACGTCGGCTACATTGCTGACTCTTGTTTGTGGCTTTGAGTTTCGACTCGAGGTCCGCCAGGGCCTTGCGCACGTCGGCAACGGCACAGTCCTGCACACACGAGAAGGCCTCATGTTGGTAGGTGTATGGGCCAATCAAAGGAGGTCTGGCGCACTAGCTAGCCACCGGTCCATCAGCGCCATCGAGGAGATCGGCGAGCGACTTGATCTCCTGCTCGAGCAGCTCAGCCTTCATGCTGAAACGCGACCGGCGATCAGACGCATCACCCAACTGCATGTCAGAGACAGACAGACAAGAATAATAGGAATGTGGGCATTCTCATATGTGTCCGACCTGCTTTCGGATCAGCTGCAGCTCCGCCTGGACGTTGGCCAGGGTGTCGGCCTCTGTCTGCATCTCCTGTTCGATGTCTCGCGCCTCGGCCTCCTCAACAGCAGACGACACACCAGCCGCCTCCCGCTGCAGACCCCGCAGACGCTCCTGCGAATTGAGACAAGTCCATGGTGCACACAGGAATGCAGGCCTGCGTTTTGGATACCTTGTCTTTGTCGAGAGCTGCCTTGAGGTTCAGAACAGCAGAGGTGGTGCTTGACTCGGACGCACCCAAGAGAGAACCTGACAGAGAAAGAAAGTAGGAGGGAGGGAGGGAATGCGACCACCCCTTTGCGTATCATGCCTCGCTCGTGTCTGCATCCGGCCTTGGTGACAACGGGCACTCCAAAGCGGTTCAACAGCCGCACAGCCGTCGAGTCGTCATCGGCCTGACACACGCACCCGGGCACACATGTACAGTACCCTCACTTACATGGGGTGTGTTGCGGTGCGGTGCGGTGCGGTGCGGTGCGGTGCGTACGATCAGTGCCGAGTCGAATGCCTTGGAAAGAGCCTTGGCAAATTTGGACTGAGGGAATAAGGAAACCCACACAAGCCATGCGCACACGGTACACGTCGGATGTCTCTGTGTGGTTGGTGGCGGTGGTCTGCCTTACATCGAAGGTGAGGAAGGATGTGCCGCGGTGGCCGCCCTCGGTCTTCACACCAGGCTGCACACACGCCAACAAGTGAGGAGGGAGATACGAGTGGTCAGACGGATGGAAGGATGCGGTCAGTGGTGTGCTGTACTGACGTCTTGCATGGCGCTGGGCAGGTTGACGGCGATGGTCTTGAGAGGCCAGATGCGGACGGCCACCTGGCTGCCGCGCTTCTTGGCCTCGTGCAGCACACCGGTGGCATCATCGGCACTGCTCGTCAGCAACACGGCCAGCTTCGAGCCTAACACACACAGACACACACAAATGGAGACACATGTCCCAGTGGACTGACTGCTCTTTCCAATGCTTTTCCGGCACCTGCGATGGCTGTGAGCGCGGGAAGCAATGGGTGTGCGGCGTCTGTGAGTGTGAATGTGTCGATGAGCGGCGTGACGGTCTGCAGGCTGGCGAGGTCGGGTGGCAGGTGCAGGGTGCTGAGCATCTTGGATCGAGCGGCGCGGATGCTGCGGCCGAGACCTTCCATCTCCTGCACACATCACATCACCGGCAGACAGACGGGCAAGTGAGCCCAGCTGACACGAATAACAGTGCATGTACTTTGCTGCGCTTCTCTTTTGCGGCCAGGTGTGCCTGAAGGAAGGGACAACACTCGGATGGCACGTCAGCAGCTAGCTGTTGATGCATGGAATGGATATCACCTTCAGTGTGGCTAGTCGTGTCTCCATCTCCTTCAATCGCTTCTGCACCGTCCTCTCCTGCCTCTCACGCTCATCCAAGCCATCCTTCATCCGCTGGCAAACACATACAATCCCATATACCCACCCATACGCGGCTCACTGCCACACAGCCCCCCATATGATGGGTACCTGCATGTTTGTGTCCCCGGCCTGTGCGTCACTTTTGGACTTCTTGAGGTCGGCACGCAGCGCAGACAGACGATCACCCAGCTCCTCCCTTGACCGAGTATCTACACACACATATCAACACACGTCCATGGGATGCCCACACACCTGTGTAATGTGAATGGGAGCGGTGTGTCTTATTTGCCTTTGAGGGCCTGTTTGCTCTGCTCATATGAGGCCACGGCAGACTGCAGCAGTGACAGCTCCGATTGGGCCGCCTGCAGCCTCTGCTTGCAGGCCGCCTTCTCCTTGCTGTGCCGGGTGAGCTCTGCCTGCAGCTCTCGTCTCTTGTTCTGCTGCGCGGTGAGCGCGTGTGCCTTGCTGGTGGTGCGCTGCAGCTTCGCCCTCATCTCCTCGACGGCAGCGCTGTCCTTCTCGTCACTCGCCTGCAGCTCATCTCGCTCGCACTCCAAACGGGACACCTGACACACAGCCGACCGCCAGCCAGCCAGTTATGTGGTGCGTTTGTGGAAGTGTCAGCAGCAGGTGACCTCTTCTTTGAGTTTCTCGGCGCGTTGGTTGTCTTCTATGGCGGCTGTCTTGAGGTCATTGAGGCGCGAACTGGGCAATGATGGATGGATGGATGGATGGATGGATGGATGGAAGGCATGGTGGGGCAGTGTGGTGTGGTGTGTTTTGGTGCTCACCGGTGTGTGTCTAGTTCTTTGTCGATGTGTGTGAGTTTGCTCTCGTGGAATGCGATCTTCATGGACGTCAGCTCGGCCCTCAGCGCCTTGCTCTCCCTGGACCACACACAACAACACAACATCAAGAGGATGGATACCACAAAGACAGCCGCCTTACTTGACGATGCCTGAAAAACACGAAAACCGAAGATCGGTCAGGACAGAACCATAAATGTCGTCTTGGCACTATTACCTTGCAGCTTCTTGTCAATCGCCCGGGCCTCTGACAAAGCGACACATATACACACACACACACACACAGCACACATCACAGAGAGCGGACGTCTCGCGTGCTATGTGGGTGGCCGGCTGACCATCGAATTTGGAGATGTATCTCTGCAGCGTGGAGATGTTTTGGTCGATCTCAGTGAGGCTGGCCTGCCACTTGTGCCGCTGCTTCTGCAGCTGGTTGGTCTGCTGCTGGAGGTCATGAGCACCCGACGCCACACTGATGACCTTGGCCACCTCGGCGGCCGACCGGATGTCGGATACGTTAGCTTGCCGCAACACATACACACTGTCGTCCACTGGTAGACCCTCACGCCTACACGCATTCATGAATAGCACAAGATGGCGCACACACTCATGTGTCATTTCATGCCACTTTAGCACTGGTTGACCTTAGCCACTCGCGAAGCTGAATCAAGGGTATCTGCCTGCGAGGAGCACACTCACACATGTGTGTGTTTAGTCCCCTGTTCTCAATTCCCTGACTTGCCATTGAGTCTGAATTCCCGCGAGCCCCTGACGCCCTTGTCGCTCGCGTCGCTGCGCAGGGTCGCTTTGATGGTGTACTTGTTGCTGCCCTGCTCCAACACCACCTCAACAGCTGCATGAAGCAGCCCAACCATTCATACCTGCCTGGCTGCGCGTCCGGCTCCCTCCATCCTTTGCTCACTTCAATTGGCTCACTTGCGTTCTCTTTGAGCTGGTCTGCCTTCTTCTTGGGGTCGGTGCCCATCAACTCAACCATACTCGACACCCTGCAAGGACCACGGAGCACTCAGATCTCCCTTTCAGCCACGGCAAGATCTCATCTGTGTGTGTGCCTTACCTGAGGTTTTTGTTGTCTGACTCGCCGAAAGCGAATGAGAGTGCGTCGAGGAGGTTGCTCTTGCCCACGCCATTGGGTCCGATGATGATGTTCAGCCCCTTGTGGAAGCTGACGGACTGCTCCGTGCCGAACGATTTGAAGTTCGACACGCGGATAGACTTGATGTGCATGGTGGAAGCCGACGCCTACAGCCTCACAGACGACGAATGCGCCGACCTGTGCACCTGCCAAGAGAGGGGCTTCTTGGACCCCAGATCGATCCATGCGAGCCATTTGTAAATCGGCCGGCCTGCGACGTGCTGGCGATGGATAGGCGTCCGCCGCGCAAGGCGGCTGTAGCTGCTGCGGCCGCATCGGCCGCATTGGCCCCACACAAACGCCATCGCAGCAACAGCCGTACCGATGACGCCGACGGTGACCATCCGATGGACCATGGTGTGGACAATGATGGCGAGGAGGAGAAAAGTTCGGGTGAAGATGAGGCCATGGCTGGGAACGTCAGCAGCTCATCATCGGAGGAGGGATCTGACTGGGAGGACATAGCGAGGGGCAAGAAGGGCGCCGCCGCCAAGAAGAAACAGCGGCTGGATGCCAGCGGCAGGGCGGCAGGTGTGGCGGTGGCCAAGAGGCGTGCGGCTAAGGCGAAGGGTAGGGGGAGGGGTATGGCCAAAGCCGAGGCGGCGGCTACTGTGGGGGAAGATCAGCGTGAGGAGGGGGAGAATGCCGAGGGCGCAGATGGTGACGTAGATATGGAGGTCAGGAATAATACAAATCTCGGTTTTGGTGGCCCATTTGTTCTGTATTGTTTCTGTGTTGGTGCAGGATGTTGCTGAGAAGGGTCCGGAGGATGCATTGGCGGCACTCGACACGATGGGCTAGGAGCTACAGGCACTCATGGAAACACTCAACGAGACCAAAGCAAAGGTAAGGAAAGGACGATAAGATAGCACATGCCATTGCCACCATCCATTTGTCATGCCGCAATGATCTATTCTCCAGGCCCGTCAGGTGTTTGAGGCCAAGAATGCCCTCCCGCCCCCCAACACAGACGTAGAACACAACCGACTGCAGGTACGCACCGCCAACACACACACACACACACGCACACATGACCAAAACACACAGATAGATGGGCGCTGCGTGTTGTGTGTGGATGTGTTGTGGGTACATTCAGGTTGTCGAGCGTCAGTGTCGTGTGTGGACGAGTATGGTGCTGCGCAACACCAAGATGCAGGTCGACAACGCCAAGGGGACGGCCACGGCGCAGCTCAACCAGACCGTCGAGAAGCTCGAGATCATCGGAGACGGCATCAACAAAACAAAATCAACCAACTTGAGCAGGTAAGATACACACGGATATACACGGTGGAATGCAGACAAAGAACATCGTGATGTGTTCATGGGCGTTGTCACGTTCTGCAGGGTGAGTTTGCGTGTCTGGATGGGCTGCCCGAGGCCCTGTGGCTCAGTGATGACGACCGCATCGCTACGGAACCACACACCGTATCAGACAGGCATGCTCACACACCCTACACATGAAGCCTCTCATCGATGCTGTTCATTCGCCTCTCTCTGTTTGCAGGGCTGGGCGGCTACCTGGGGTTCGTGTCGTGCATGGCCTCCCTCTCATGTGTGAGCATGCACTTCAGCGCCCTCACGTCAAACAGCGCCATGCACCCCATCGTAGAGCTCAGCATACCGCCTCCTGACGACAGCATCGACTTACTCCAAGGTGAGACCAGCAAGGGACAGAGAACAATGCCCCTCCACGTCTTCGCCTCTCCTGTCGGCCCCTTTCAGTGCGGCTGTCTGCGTGTCGCGAGCTGCGTGTGCGCCACAGGCCGTGTGCGGCGATGGTGCGTCTGCTGGAGGCCCTCTCACCCACCATCGTGACACTAACGCTGCAGGGGTCGGCGCCCAGCCAGCAGGAGATCAACCGTACGGACGCCAAGAGGGGTCGGCACCAGAGGGGCAAGATGGCGCAGCGGAAGCTGGTCAAGGCCATGAGGAAGGGCAAGGCCGCCAAGGTCGAGCTGCCATCCAACACGGCCCCAGTGGTGTTCCCACGCCTCCGAACGGCCACCATCTACAACGCATGGGGCCGCATAGCTGACGATCGCAACTACAAGCTGCCGGTGGGCATACCTGCCACCCATCTGGCCGTCTCTATCAGTCAGTCTCGCTCTGCATATGTGTTCAGGCGTTGAAGGACTTGATTGCGGCGAGTCTCGGCCAGCTTGGACCTCTATCGTTCATTCGCCGGGCGTCGGCTGGGCTCTCATCGCTCCACATCACACATGACAAGGTGCGACAAAGAGACCGACAGACGAACCCTACGGAGGGATGGGATGCATCCAGTCGTTGCTCGCACGTCGTGTCCATTAGGATGTTGTTGCCCACGCTGAGGAGAACGTGACCCTGCATGACGTTTCAAACGCTCTCAGATGCACGCCCGCAGGTGTGCATTTGACGACACGCGCACGGAGCCATCTTACATTAGGTGAACTCATTCACCCCGCTCCCCTCTCTCTCATTCATTTCAGCTGAGACGCTGGTTTCCCTCACCGGACGCGTTCACCTTGAGGTGCGGCGTCATCAGCCCCCTCTCCTCCACCCTCAACCCCCACCTCTCAGCTCGACCATCCACGGATTCGTCAACGTGATGAGCGCCAGCCGCCTGCAGAACATCCAGCTGGGTGTGGGCCCTGGGGAGATCCAGTCGGCAACTGACATACAGGTACATGAGTGCACGAGCCAACGCCGGTTGCCATCCGCTGATCTCACTCACTCTCATACACCGACTGCCCGCCGATCATCTGATGCATTCATTATAGAGCATCCACTGCATCCGCACTTCCTGCCTCGCCCCCAACGCCACCGAGGACTACTACCGAGTGCCGACCCACAGCGAGCGCCGTCAAGGCATCCGCGGCCCCCTCCCAGAGAAGCCCCACATCCGCCTCCCCATCACAGGCACCGCTGCTGAGCTGGGTGGAGCCGTTCCGACCTTCCAGCTGTTCTGCGCACAGACCGGGGAGGCCACTCTCGAGGCCCATGCGAGGCAGGGTGCGGTGAGGGAGGCCCCCGGCCTGGACGACCTCGTCTGCGGCAAGGCCAAGAAGCTGACAATCAGGCCATCAGGCGCTTCGCACCCGCTCCCCCCCTACGTCATCGGCAATCCCGCCTCCCTCTTCCCGGCCGTCGAGTCAGTCGAGGTCAGGCAGGGGACTCAGGGCATGGCCTTCTACGATGGGGGCGTGGGGGCTGTCTTGGGGGACCTGCCCTCACTCGAGAGTGTCACCTTCAAAAGGGACATTAGGTCGGTTGCTGTAGAGGGGGGTGCCGGAGAGGGTATTGCCAATGGGCCGCTGACGATCTGTCGCCGTGCCACTGTCTGTCTGGTGCCTGCTGCCGTCGGTTTTCTGTCGGCTGAAGCCGCAACGGCTCTCACAGTGGCCCTCGGGTTCGATGTGGGTCTTGCCTACTACCGTTATCACGATCCGGCACATGAGAGGTGGGAGATCAAGTGGGACGTGTATGAGCAGGCAGGGAAGGGGAAGGAGCCCATGGGGCGGGTCAGTCGGATAGAGATCAGCCTGAGTGCACCACTGTATGGGGGGCCGGATCATGAGTATGGTATGACAGAGGAGGAAGGCAAGGCTATGTGTCGGTCGCTGGCCGACGCAGTGGCGGAGGCCTTCTCTCTCTTCCCCTGTCTGCGGTCTGTCTCTCTGTCTGGCAGCAGGCCCCGATTCCCCTTAGTGCCTGAGATCAGAGAGGCGGCTCAGGGGAGGTTTGTTGTCGTGTCTGGCAAGAAATCTGCCGTTGAGATGCGGCCCACGCGCACTAGCAGCAGCAAGGGAGGAGGGGTCAAGGGTAAGAGGGACAAGGCCACGGCCAAGGCAGGCTAGATCATCCACACAACAACACATGATGTCATACACACTGCTCCTTCGTTGATTCAGTAAGTGGGCGGGTGTGAGGCTACAGGGGAGGAAGGGGCAGCTCTGCATACGTGCAGTGGAATTGCTGGCTGACATGTGCGGCAGTGGATGGATGGATGGATGTGAGGTGGCTGTGGTGTTTGTGTCCCTGTGGAAGTGCCAAGCACAACAGAGACACAATCACGGCAACCAACTGCCTCCGTCCACACGTGTCTGTGTGCACTGGTAAGGGCGGGACACACCTTGGTTGATTGATCAGCTTTGATGTACCAACAAGCCAGGGTCGGTGGATTCATTGAAGCTTCAAGGCCACGCACCCGCGTACGCACACGCGTCAATCCATCGAGGAACACGCACCCCCACCCCCGAATGTCTGTGTGTCAATTCAAAAATACAATCAAGGCAATGGCTCACTGGATTAGCTGCACCATGGGCTGCCACCCACTCACTGGCTGCACACAGACAGACAGACAGACAGACAGACAGACAGGAGTGACAGGAGTGCAAAGGCACATCAGTCTGTCCTTTCCCATGGCCAATACTTACACGAGGAACGACACGGTTGCCCGGCGGGACGACACAAACAGATCGCATCACAGCACGGATGACTGCACCACAAAAGCACAAAGATGGACACAACAACCAACCGAGATAGTGTGCGCGTGTGTGTGCCCGCCTGCTCTCTCGTCTGCTCTGCCCACATGTCATAGATGCGTTACCACCAGAAAGGCCACCACAGGGGGCATCGACACCAGCAGGTTGTCGAGCACACCCCCGTAGGCCTCCAGCACCGACGTCAGACATGAGATGGCCAATCGCAGCCAAATTGAGGGCAGGAATGGGGTCGTCAGAAGGGTGACAAAGAACACCGTCAGGGAACCCGCTATCTGATCAATGTGATCCACAACTGTGTCCATTTCAACGCGAGATGAAAAAGCGTGGGGGAGTTCCCGTCAGTCAGTCGGTCGACTCACCGTTTTGTCTCCCGCCCATTTGGGTGACCTTACAGCCTTTCCCACAATGGCGGCCAGTGGGTCGGCGAAGAACATGGGCATCAGCAGGGCGAACGGCAGCTCCAGGATCGCCCAGGTCATCACAATCAGCCCGTATATCGTGATGCCGAGGTCACCGCGACGCGCAAACCTACAGACCAGACAAGAAGCGCTTTGACCGGTCCATGCCATGTGGGTCTGCGCGTGTACGGTGCGTATCGCCATACATACCTGTACGGCGGCAGTCCGAACAGCTGTTTGTACGTGTCGGCCATCCAGATGTGGGATACGACGTAGATGGCAAATACCACCATGAAAGGGCGCGTGACGGCCGTGTAGGGGCTGTTGAGCAGCAACCAGCCCGACAACATGTGCACCAGCTTCCTGGTAGGGAGTCACACACATGGGAGGGAGGCCTGGGAGTGTGTGTGTGCCGGTGTTTGCCTGCGAGTCGCCAGCTGAGCTGACCTGGCGTAGAAGACGGGAATAACATCGAAGAACTGACACACGATGAATACACTGATGACACCCGTCATCATCAAATACCCAGGCAGCACCATTGCGATAGGTACAACCTGCACACACACAACAACATCCACAACAGAACAGACAAGCTTAATTGCATCATCTGCATGTGGGCATGCAGTGTGATCGATTGCCGGTTGCTTACACAGATAGAGCCTTCAACGAATCGACGACGTCAGCCGCCGGAACAGAGCACCTGAAAGAACACACGGGATTCCCCGGGTCTCAAAGGCAAGATCTGACACTTTTTCTGGCTCACCGTTGATCGGATGACAAATGCACGCGTCGTTTGGGAGCAAGGCTGACAACGTCGCTTCAGGGTCTGCGAGCTTAGCCACGAAAACCCCTTAGCTCGCAAAATGACTCCGATGACACCTAGGGTGCTCCCTGAAACCGCTGCGACTCCGATGAAGTGACGTTTGGTTGCGCTTGCATCTCTTCTAAAATCACTGCAGTCTGTTCCTCTTCCCCTGCAGTGAGTGCTGATCAATCAGATCTATCTGGTGGAGCTGACTCATCTCATCCATCCATAAGCAACAGGCAGGTGATGGCATGGCAATCAGAGAGAGCCATGCAACGCACTCACCGTCCATGCCACGCCTCTCGTTTCTTTTAATTTCAGGCAGGCTATGCGAACAACTCGCCTCTTGCGCAGCGTGCACAGCATGTGTGTTGGGAGATGCGGATATGTATATGCATCGGCTGCCGTCCGCCCCGCCCTTCGCCAGCAGACCCGCTGCGCCCGCACGTCGACGGCACACAGGAGAAGCGACACCACTAGACATAGTAGGCAGGGCAGGGAGAGACTGGAGAGAGAGAGTGGTATCCATCACATCAGCTGTCTGTCTGCGTATCGTTCAGCGTCTGGTGAGTCGTCGTCGGCATCATCAGCTGCCCCAGCGATGCGATTTGATGAGCTGCAGCTGAGTGAAGGCACCATGAAGGGTATTACACAGGTGAGCCACACGCAGCTGGCCAGGCTGACTGACACGCAATCACATCGCACACACACGTGTGTCTGCCTGCCTGCCTACCTGCTGTCATGTGTATCAGATATTGGGTTACGAGACCATGTCAGATGTGCAGTCCAAGGCAATCACCAAGGTTGGTTGGTGTGAATGTCTACACACGCACATGCACACAACACATACGCGGGATCAGACCAACGGCCGATATGGGTCGCACACACCTCTGTGTGTGTGTGCACTGCAGGTGTTGCACACGAGCAACGATGTCCTGGTGCAGAGTAAGACGGGCACCGGCAAGACGCTCTGCTACCTCATTCCCGTCATCGAGAAAATGGTACACACACACACATTCAGCACCCTTAGACAGACACGTGACAATTGCTGTGTGTCGGCCGGTGTGTGCAGGTGAGGAGCCCTCCTGTGGCTGTGGGTGCGCTCATCCTGGCGCCCACAAGAGAGCTGGTGCTGCAGATCGTCAAGGAGGCCTCTCAGCTGCTGACGCACCACCCGGCCATCGACATACTCCCTCTCACTGGGGGCACCTCCCGAAGACAAGACACGGTCCGTCTATTCGTCTGCTGCAGACACACACACAGAGCCACCCACGTGTTTGCGTGTAGAGATTTTCTGATTCTGTGTGTGTAGGTAGCTCTGAAGCGCCGGAGGCCTCAGATCGTGGTGGCGACCCCGGGGCGGCTGTTGGATCACCTGTCGTCGACATTCAACTTTCACTCGCTCTTCACCGGGCTGTCTGTCATGGTGCTCGACGAGGCCGACAGGTACACACACTCACAGGCGCATTCCCTGTCTGTCTGGCTGTCTGTCTGTCTGTCTGCCTGTCTGTGTGGGTGTGTGTAGGTTGTTAGAGCTTGGGAGCATTGACGATCTGCGGACCATCATGACATACATGCCCAAAGACAAACAGGTGTTTACGCGAGTGCCTGTCTCTGTGTCTGTCTGTATCTGGACCTTTGTGTGGGTATTGTATTGTTTGCCTTGTATGCGTGCAGTCGTTGCTCTTCTCGGCGACCATCACGGATGACGTCAGGGGTACATCCAGAGAGAGAGGCAGAGACGACAGACTTGTCGACGACAGGACACACAATCATCTGTGTGTCCATGCCATGTGTGCAGAGATCGCCACTCGGGCCTGCAGAGCCAACTACATGCTCATCGTAAGCAGACGCACCGATGAATCGAATCTTTGTGGCCGTTTTCATTTCCATGTGTGTGTGTGTGTGTGTGTGTGTGCAGGACTGCATCCCTCACGACGACATCCCGACGGTGGATCGTGTGCAGCAGAGATACGTCACACTCCCAGCCAGATGCCTCACACAGGCGAGTGATCAGACAGACAGACAGACAGACAGGGAGGAAGAAACAGACACCGCACCCGCCCCACGGACAGACGTCAACTGCTGCCTGCCTTTGCCTGTAGGTGTTGTATCACTGCCTCATGAACGAGATGCGAACCAACCTGTACAGCTACAAGATCCTGGTCTTCTTCCCCACCGCACGATGCACTGCATTCTTCGCGCACTTCTACAGGGAACAACTCAGGTCCACACACACACATGCACACGCACACACACGGTCGTGTGGGTGTGTGTGGGTGCGGTGCATCCACACCACAGGTGCGTCAGTGTGTGTGAGTTGGTTGGTGCGGTGCCTGCAGGATAGCTGTGTATGAGATGCACCGGAGGAGAGACCAGCACACAAGGTGGGTGCACCACGCACACACACAGACACAAAGAAAGCACATCTGTGTGTGCACTGTCTGATGCTCAGGAGCGTCACATCAGATCGGTTCAAGAGCGACCCCACAGGTGCGGTTTGTGCGAACACAGGGAGCCGCCGTCAAGTTGTTTGTCGTGACATATGTTTGTTTGTGTGGCCTGGCCTTGCCTTGTGAGTGATTTACAGGGATAATGTTTTCGAGTGATCTGTCGGCTCGTGGGATGGACTACCCCAACGTCACACTCGTCATACAGGTAAGGCACACACACACACGCGTGAGTGCCGCTTTGCTTTGCTTTGTGTGTCTGCAGGTGTGTGCCCCGCCCTCTCGCGAGCAGTACATCCACAGAATCGGTAGCCTACACAACGCAGCCACACAAGCATCGAATCGACACAGTGCCTCTATTATAGACAGCCAATCTGTGTGTGTGTGTGTGTGTATTGTGCGTCAGGTCGGACGGCCCGTGTTCACTCTGACGGCCGTGGGCTGCTGCTGCTGACTGAGAACGAAGCGCAGGGCGGCATGGAGGTAGGATGCGATGCGCCGTGCAGTGCACTGCACGCACCTCACCACGTGTGGGTGTCTCCGTATGCCTTTGTGTGTGTGTGTGTGTGTGTGTGGAAAGGCCATCAAGGATTTGCCCATACATAAGATTGACGACAAGTCGCTCTTCTACCAGGCAGGCAAAGACACACACCACTGTGTGCTGTGCTGTGCTGAATCGATGGTGGTTGATGTTGATGTTGATGTTGATGTTGATGTGTGTGTGTGTGTGTGTTCAGAACGACCTGCTGGTCAATGCTGTCAGCAGCTGGATGGCCAACACACAGGTGGGTATGTTATCCCCCGCTGCACACGCATAGCATAGGCAGGCGGGGATTTATGAGATTTCTCTCTCTCGATGTGTATGTCTGTTCTGTCTGTTCTGTCTGTCTGTGTGTGTGTGTCATTCGTGTCATCCAGCTGTTGTTTGCGGCATCTGCTGCGTATGCCTCGCTGCTGACCTACTTCAAAGTCCACGCCCGCAGGTCAGGTGTGTCACACACCACACCACACCCTGATGCGATGCCAAGCGATGCACACCATGCAGCAAAGCATCTGTCTATCCTCATGTGTGGGGTGGGTTTGTGTGTGTGTGTGTGTGTGTGTGTGTCTTTAATGTCAGGTTGAAGCTGAGCGACAGTGACGTAGGGCATACAGACAGACAGACACACCCAGACACAATGAATGCCCCCGTGTGTGTGCGATGTGGTTCTGTCTGGCAGATCATCCAGACAGCGGGGGACATGCTGCTGTCCGCCGGCCTGGTCGACACACCTGGTGGGGTGGGGACCTTACTCTCGCACACCACACACACACACACCCTACACGGCCTCCACGCTGCGTCTGTGAGAGCGTGCCTCTCTATGTTTCTGTGTATGTGCATGTCTGTCTGTCTGGTTTGTTTGTCCAGCCATCTCCCGTCGGCTCGCCCAGACGCTGCAACTGGAGGGCAACCCCATGATCAAAGTAACACAGACAGTCAGACAGACAGACACCCAATCATATCATTCTTGCCAGCCCAGCCGGCTCATCTCATGTCATGGGTGTGCGTGTGTTGTGTTGTGTGTGTTGTGTTCAGGTGCAGGACAATTTGGACGAGTTGGATGCGTTGGAGTATCTGCACGAGACGGCTGACCACAACAGACAGAAACAGCACGAGGAACGGAGGTAGGTACGCAAGGAAGGCTCATGAATGAGGCCAGGCACACCACTCAACTGACAGACATCGACTGCATACAGACACACAGAGATACGTGTGTGCACTGAATTGATTGATGGACTAGATATGTGGAGGAGCTTAAGCTGACGGCAATGGGACGAAAGCACGACGACAGAGACCACACTTTCACACAGGTACCCATGTTTGTTTGTACGTGTCAGCTAAGCGTGTGGATGTTCGTTCGTGTTGGCCTTGGCTGCAGACGTATGGCTGATATAATTGATGTGGCATGTATGGGTGGTCTTTGAATCTAAGGGCTGACTTGACTGATGCGATGCGGGCGATCGATATAGGTGAATGACGTGACGTGTCTTGGGATCATTGAGTGTATAGCTAAGCTGACAACCGCTAAATTGCGTGTGCGTGTTAAAGACCTCTTTCACTCATTAACGCGATCGTTTGTCTACTGCTCGCCCAGCAAACAGGCGGCATATAGATAGGTGGCATATGTGAGTGAAATAGGATGTATGTGTGCGTGTGTGCGTGTGGTAGCTTGCTGGCATGCTTGCTGGGCAGAGGATTTCGGAGCGTTTCAGGGGTGTATTCAAATATGGCTGGTGCGGTGCGGGAATCTGTTTAGCTTTACAGTGAATGGACAAATAACATGGACACACATTAAATACATTCATTCAAGCAAGGGAGCATGAGGTGATGGGGAGCGCTGTATATGTCAGTGTTGCCACCACACGCAGCCAATGAATTGACAGGGAGGAGAGGGAGGAGTGGTTCTATTACCGCCGCATCACCTGCAGCACCTCTCCCTTTCGCCTGTCAGCCTATATCCCGCAGGTCACCCAGCGGCTGTCGATGGTCTGCCAACAGTCACCAGACACATTAAGACAGAGACAGAGGGACGAGAGAGACGGAAAAGACTGCTATGCGTGAGTGGGTCACTGTTCGTGTCTCTTGTGTCTTGCCTTTGCACACCTTGGCGCGCCTGAGCAGCTTGATAAAAAAAAGTTCTTCATCAGCTGCTGTGGGCTTCTGAAGCGCCGGGGTGACCTCAGCTGGCCTTTGCGTGATGAATTCGATGTTCGTCGGGGAAAGCTCGTTAGGGCCGGACACGTGCAGGATGGAGGGCTGGTCGTGGATGTTTAGATAGTTGTTGTTGGCATCCCTGTTCTTGTCGGTGAGAAGGGAGAAAGAGGAAGGCAATGCACATCAAGGAAGATCATGTATGGGGTGTGTATATATATGTGTGCTGCCTGTGTATACGTACAGGGTGCTCACTCAATGGCGTAGGACAAGGGGAACAGACGCCTGCTGTGACCTCCAGAGGACCAACAGAGCGTTGTCGAAATCTGCATGCAAACACAGGCAAGGAACAGAAGGAATAGGAGAGAATACCCAGGTAGTTCTTGTGTTGGTTCGCTCTCTCACTCACTTCATCGCCATCGAACGAGTCAACGTTGGATATGTCGACGCTGCCCGCATCGCATCGGTGGTGCTGCTCGTATTGGAGTCACAGATACACGCGCACACGCATCGTCCCACCACTCGCTCTCTCCCGAGTCACACACATACAGGCTCACGCACACGCACACACACCCATCTACTGTCTCTCGCTTTCTTGTCGACTCACAGATACACTGACACACACCTTCCCGGCACTCATCATCATCATGACACCAGTGGCTCCTGCCAGGCAGAAAGATAGATGGTAAAGTCGATATGTGCAGCAATAGGTGAGGTGAGGAGAGAGCACGTGAGAGAGCATGGAAGAGAGTGGAGAAAGCCATCCATCCAAATGCAGAGAAAAATCTGTGTGTGTGTGTGTGTGTGGAAGGAGGGAAAAAATCTGTATATGTGTGTGTCTGTGTGTGTGTGTGGGTTTGTATATGTTTATGAACGGTCTCTCGCTCTCTTGTCGAGTCACACATACACGAACACACGAACACGTACGCCGTCCCATCAAAAAACCACCACACCACTACGCCAGTGTATCCCGTCAGGCAGAAAGAAAGTCGATATGCGGGCAGCAAGGTGTGAGGAGAGAGTGGAGAAAGGCATTCATCCAAATGCAGAGAAAAATCTGTGTATGTATGTGTGGGTATGTGGGGGGGGAGGTGTATGTGTGTATGTAGGTATGTGTGGATATCGTCGAGTCCTGATTATTCGCCAGCGTCCTCACTGCACGTCGGCAAGAGAGTGACAAAACGCAAGAGCGACGTGAATATTGCTGTGTCTGTGACTGTACTCGTATGTGTACCGAATGCGGCGCCTACCTGTGGAACGTCATGTAATAGTAATGGGTCTCGCCGCAGTCCTCGCGGGGGCACTGCAGAGTTTGACGAACTCCACGTTTGGTGGGGGAATCTCGTTGGCGTCGAACACCCGGCAGGGATATTGAGGTATTCGTTGCCATGCATGTCTCTGTCGGTCAGGAGGCAGATAGAGGAAGACAACGCACAGCAGGGAAGATCATGTGTGATGCGATGTGATGTTGTGGGCGGATGGAGGCTCTCTGCCTGTCTGCTTTCCTTCCTCGGCAGATCTGGCAGCTCTTTGTGAGGGAGGCCCACTCACCTACGTGGGCGATTCGGCAGATTACGACCACCACACCTCTGTCACTGCGCCGACGCTAAGACGCTCACGAAAAGGGGACGGATCTTCAGCCAGTGAAGCGCGCAAATATTCCTTGTCATCTCCCCGATAGGGACGTCAATCTGATCGGCACCCACACGAAGATCATGGATGGGGTGTATATGTATGTGTGTCGGTTGTGTATGTAGGGTGCTCACTGAGTAAGGTAGACCAGGCCGAACACGCCTGTACGTCCTCCACATGACCCAACAGAACTTGACGCGCTCGTAGAAGACCGCCGGACATCGTCATCACCTGCATTGTCATCACCTGAAGGCACACACATGCAAGGAGCAGGAGAGAATATCCAGGTAGTTCTTGTGTTGGTTCGTTCTCTCACTCAGATCATCGCTGTCGAACGTGCCGACGGTCGAGATGTTGTCGTCGCCCACATCACGATGTGCAACTCTATTGGCAACGCGCTTGAGAGCATCTGCATCAAAGCGCGTAGTGTCACAGACAGAGGACATGCAATGACTATGCTGGTATGTGAGGGTGCCTGGTGCACCTATCAAGGTTAGCTACCGGCTTGAACTTGTGGCCGATGTTCAAACGCATCAACAAGTTTAGCACATGATGGCTCCATGACGTGCAGGCAGAAGGAGAGGACCCTTGTGGAATTTGCATAGAGGCAAAAAGCAGCAAGCTGCCCCCCGTCAAGACGAGTGATCCATCCTCTGAGTGCACTGACCCGTTTGAGTTGGTTTACAGCGACATCTGTGGCACTCTGCTACGGTCGAGTCCTCGGGGATATCGCTACTTCATCACCTTTGTGGATACGTACACTCAACGTGTGGCGGTGTATCCACTGAGATCACGTGACGAGTCGGCTGATGCCTTGGTCAGGCTGTGCGCTACGATGAAGGTACCTGAAACACTTAGAACAGACTATGCACAGGAGCTGTCGACCGGTGCTTTTGAGCGTGTGTGTCTGGGGAAGGGTATTAAGCGTCAGTTTAGTGCACTATACTCACCGCGGCAGAATGGGATCGCTGAGCGCATGAACAGGACGCTGAATGAGATGGCGACAGCCTTCCTGCTACACCATCAAACCACCGTAGCGCTCTGGTCGTTCGCTGTTGACACAGCGGCATTTCTGACGAACCGATTACCCACAGCGAGCCTGAGAGACAGCAAGACACCGTACGAGATGTGGGAGGGCCGACGGCCCTACCTGGGACATGTGCGTGTGTGGGGCTGCCTTGGGTATGTGCATCGGAGAAAGAAACACCGAGACAATAAGTACTCACCGAAGTACTAATCGAAGGCGGTGCCGATGGTCTTGGTCGGTTACGATGCGCGGACGAAGGATGCTCACGTCTTGAGGCGCACTTGCTCCTCCCGCACCTTGGTCATGAGTGATGAGGATGGGGAGATGGAGGACCTAATGGACCGTTTGTTGTGGCGCCACCTGACACACACACACACAAACACACACAGCTACAGGAGGCGCCGTCAATGGTCGGTGCGTCTTCAGAACATACCGGTGGATTCGGTGGCGGCGCGCCCTTGCATCCTGCACAGGTGGGGCAAGTAAGAGCGCACGTGTTACGTGTAGTGCAGAGGGGTATCGATAGGCGCTCGGGGCGATCCCTTCCGCCGCCAGGCTACGCCGAACGGACCTCACATCTCCAATATGTGGACGACGCAAGAGGCGCCGTTCTTCAAAACTCACTCATAGCTCGCAATGGAAGCAGAGAGATCTTTCATCGCGAAGCCTCAGTATCATGTGCGGGCTGGCCCATGCACTTCGTGTAGGCCATCGTTTGTGGTTTCGATGAGATGAGCATGAGCAGCGGTCGCCGTGACAGTTTGGGTGACCGCCTGCCCCGCCCGGTGCGCCGCGTGGCGCTTGACGAGCAGGAGGCCATCGACAGAGTGCTCATCTACGGGGCGGCCATCGGCATACACGCCGCACTCATCGCATGGGGACTGCACCAAGACAAGACTCGTGAGTGGAGTGTGCGCGTGATAAACCACACACACTCACACAGACAGACGCAGACAGACAGAAGGAAGAAAGATGCACCCGATGAGTTAACTGATGGGCATGTCATGTGATGTGTCGTGTGTGTGGTTGCCATTCCATGCAGTGTCGGTGCCGTACACCGACATCGACTACCACGTCTTCAGCGACGCCGCGCGGCACCTTTATGAGGGCGCTTCGCCGTACGAGCGGGAAACATACAGATACACACCCTTGCTGTAAGCAAGAGAAACCACACAGCCAAGCCGGACACGCAGATAGATGAGTCTGTGCATTGAATGCCTTGGCCTCTCTGGTGTGGTGTGCCTGTGTTCGGTGTGTCCATGATATGACTGCAGTGCGTGGCTGCTGGTGCCTGTGGTGTGGCACCCTCTCTTCGGCAAGGCCCTCTTCTGCCTTGCCAACCTTGTGTGCGCCGCACTCATCGAGGTCAGTCAGCACACACAAGGCAGGCCAAGGCAGTGCAGACCACCTGCAGGCACTTGTGCAGCCAACCAGCCAGCGATCGATCCATTCATCAATGTGTGTTGTGTTGTCCATCCATCCATCCATCCCATCCATCAGCATGTGCTGCGTGCTCGCGGCGTCCGCGCTCGCCCCTCCCTGCTGCTGTCGTGTCTGTGGCTGATGAACCCCATACCGCTCAACGTGGCCACCCGAGGCAGCTGCGACACTCTCACGTGTGCCATGATACTGGTGCTGGTGCGAGAACTGGTCGACATGAACCCCGCTGGCAAGAGGAGGGTTGGGTGCTCGTGGGCAGCTGTGAGGGCTGCTGTCGTGTAAGTAAGAGTCAGTGGGAAGCACACACACACACACACACAGAGAGAGAGAGAGAGAGAGGGAGAGAGAGGGGGGTGGATGGGTGTCTTTGGTGTGTGTGTCAATCAGCTACGGTTTTTTGGTTCATTGGCGGGTCTTCCCCGTGATATACGGACTGCCCATCCTGCTGCTGCTCAACCCTGACTACCTCTCCTGCAAATTTGTATGCACGCCCTGCGTTGGAGAGTGAATGATACACGTGTTTCCCTTGTCTGCCATGCCATTGCCATGTCAGACGCGCCCTCTAGCTGTCGATACGCCCAAGCCGTCCGTCTCAGATATAGCCAAAGGCAACACAAAGGATGATCACGACAGCGGAGAGGATGGCGATGGCAATGGCGATGGCGATGACGACATAGCAGAGGACATGTTTTCAGCCCGGAGAGGGTCCCTGCCGCCCGTCTTGTCGGTGGCGTCGCTCTTGCGGCTGAATGGCGATCAGATGGTGTTCGTCGCCATCAGCGGGGGGCTATTCCTTGCCTTGATGGCTGTCTTCTACTACTGGTAAACATGAGTACACACAAGGCAAGGCGCCGGAGGGGCCCGGCCCGGCCAGCTGTGTGTGTGCAGGTATGGGTGGGTGTTTGTGTACGAGACGTACCTCTATCATCTGGTGCGCTCCGACCTGGCACACAACTTCTCGCCATACTTCTACATCGCCAGAATGATGCAGCCATACCCTACGCTCGCTAAGGTAGGCAAGACAAACACACACACACACACACGAGGCAAACCTGGATGAAGGCATGGGCGTGTGTCTTGCCTTTGTGTGTGTGTGTGTGTGTGCGTGTGAGAGCATGCAGGTGGTGAGCATCGGTGTGTTTGTGCCTCAGTGGGCTGGTGCGTTGGTGCTGGGGGCCTACTACGCGCGCAAGAGGGTTGAGCTGGGGCTCTTCATGCAGGTAGGTCATCCAGTGAGTACCAGGCAGACACAGACAGACACACGGATGCGTGTGTGCAGGGTGAATGGATGGATGGATGGATTTGGCTCTGTGTGTGCACATTATGTGTGTGTGTGTGCTGCCATAGCTAGACGCTGTGGTTTGTGGCGCTCAATAAAGTCTGCACGGCACAGGTGTGGATGGATGGATGGATGGATGGCGGCCCACACCACACGCCATGCAGTCTGATGTCTGTCTGTCTGTGCTGTCTGGTGGTCACTCAGTATTTCCTGTGGTGGGGCTGCCTGATGCCGCTCGCCATCGCCTGTGTACCCGCCACACGAGTAAGCACAGAGGCAAGCACACAGAAGCCGATTGCAGCAAGCCATCCGTCCCCCTATGCTGTGTGTGTCTGTCAGCGTCGTGTGATCGAGCTGATTCTCCTGTGCGGCTTCTGGCTCGCCACCGAGGTGCCTACACACACAAACACACACAGAGAGAGAGAGAGAGATGAGTGCTGTCTGTGTGTTCATTCCCTCAGTTCCATTGGCTGGGCTGGGCATACAAGCTGGAGTTCCTTCGACAAGACGTGGCACTGCAGGTGTGTGTGTACTGCATGCAGTGTAGGCCAGCCACACACACATCACATAACGATGCGTGTCTGTCTGTCTGTCCGTTTTGTGTGCGTATGTCTTCAGGTGTTTCTGGCGTCGCTGTTGTTCCTGTGTGCCAATTTGTGTGTGGTGTGGTTCTTCTGGCGCCACGCCCGTGCAGCCAACATCCACGTCAATTTCGTCGTCAGCGCCAGACCTTCTCTCGTGGCGAGAAAGTCATCATAGCTATGAGGTGACAGCCAAGCAGCCAGACAGGCAAGATGTCTGAGTGAGTGCTGCTGTCGTTTCTCTCGGTCGCTCTGTGTGCCGACGTCTCGGTCTGTGCTGGCGCGGTGTGGCGTGGTGTTGAGCATTCATTACTGATGGATGACACTTGGTTGACGGAGAACGTTATGTAGAATAAATGGGACCATCGACAGAGGACGCCGATCGAACGATCGAGGGGGGCTGATGAAGATTCGTGATTCAATCCTATCTACCCGTGCTCAAACACACGCCGAGCCAGATCCAATCAATGGGTGCGCGCAGACAAACGCGACGAGGGCAAGGGAAGGGCGGCGAATGCTGGATGATGGAAAGTGCTTGAAACGTGGCTGGCTGCTGGCGCGCCATGTCGATGCGCTGACATATCTTGTTTAAAACAGTATATAGTGATACATACGATAACGCATAAGTTACCTACCGGCACGGGCGAGAAAAAAGACAGAAATGCAGAGAGACATACTGACTGTCATGGACTGACTGAGTGACTGACTGACTGACTGACAGACTGCGATAGATAGCTGACCCCACCACACACTCCCAACAGCGCGCGCACCACACACCGCACACCACACACTGCGCCTGTCTGTCAGCCAACCTGTTTCCCGACCTGGGGGGAACGACCTATACTACAAATACGCGGCCCACGCCACACCCACACCGATGCACACGCAATGGCTGGCTGGCTGACGGTGTGCAGGTCAGGTCAGTCAGTCAGTCAGGTGGGCAGTGTGCTGAGTATTTCTTGGAGGTTTGGGTCGACCTCGGTCTTGTGTCTGATGGCGTCGCAGAGGACGAAGGCCGTGTCGCGGTCGAACAGGTCGGCGATGTAGATCAGCAGGTGGAAGTCGGCGTACCGGTGCCACGACGGCTCGCTAGACGGTACCTTCTTCAAGTACTCCTGATAATGGACCGACCGATAGACCAACCGAAGGGCAGCATGGAAACGTGTTCGTGTGTGGCGCTCTCTCTCTCTCTGTGTCACTCTCTCTGTGAGTGTGTGTGTGGGTGTGGGTCGGTTGTGTGTGCTCACCCTGACGGCTGCCCTGCTCTGTGTCTCGTTGGGCTGTCGGTTCTCCCGCGGGAATATCGCGTGCTTGAACATCGAACGAGCCTGTGCACATGTTTCGATGGACAGACAGATGGCTGAACGCTTCTAGTGCTGGTCGGTCTGTCTGTCTGTCTGTCTGTCGTGTGTGGTATGCTTCGGTGCGTGTGTGCGTGTGTGTGTGTGTGTACCCGTCTAGGTGCAGATTCGTTGACCCTGACGATGAGCCAGTCGACGTCGAACTTGTCAGTCTCGTGGCCCGACTCCAGAATCTGAGCCATGATCTCGTGCTGCACACATCACATCCATCCACCCACCAATCAATCACACGACATTCAACACATACACACACGTCTGTCTGCCTTTCCTCTCTTATACATTCGCGTGTGTGCTTTGCCGTCCGCACCTTCTTCCTTGGCTTGAGTTGCAGGTGCCGGGGGTCGGGCGACATCCCCAACACGCCGTCACGCACAAACGCCATGCCCTGATCCACACCACACCACACAGACAGAGTGAGGTTTAGGAGCAAACCCGCCATTGACTGACACATGCTATGCAGCATCAGCTGACTATGGCGTGTGTGTGTGTCTACCAGGTCGGAGATCATGAATGCGTTGGGTGCGGCGCCGGCGGCCCCCATGGCCGAGTTGGGGTCGGGCGCGATGGTCAGCGTCACGAACTTGGACACGGGATAAGACGTGAAGTGCTTGTCGCTCAGATGATCCAACTGCAGCCTGCCATGACATGACGCCGCATATACAACACACATGCCCACCCATCAAACACACACAGGACGGGATGTGCTGTGCTGGTACCAGCGTGGATAATGGGAGTGTCTGTCTGGGTGTGTTGACCCACTTACCGTGCGATTTTTTGTATCTCGTCTGAGGTGAGCAGCTCGTCTCTGGGGAGGTGTGTGAAGATGTAGCCGATGCGCTCGAGGCCCAGCCGACCGGCGACGGCCTCCACCGTGGCGTGGAAGGGGTCGTCCAGAAACTGGATGCCCTCACCCACCTCAACCTTTTGATTGACACACCGAACCAACACCAACCACCCCCACACAGACACAGACACAGACACCCACCATACCATCCGCCGTTGACTGACATGGCTGTTCGGTTGGTTGTGTCACTCACTTACGGTGCCTGCCACCGTGCTGTGCTGTGCTCACCCACCTGTGGCGGCTCGTAGATGGCCTCGAGGACGGCGCGCATGCCCATGGGGTAGTGACTGTCCTCGACGTAGTAGCCGTACAGCCAGCCGCCCCGCTGGGTGGCGAGCTCGCACTTGTCGGTCCAGTAGCTGCAGAAGTTCTGCATCTCGCTGATGTTCATCAGCTCGAGGTGGTCCACGTGGCGGTACGGCTGATGCTTCAGGGTCACTGCTGGCGGCAGCTGCAGTGTACCATACCCACCCCACACACATACACAGAGGTGGCGGTGGTGGTGCTGGCTGGCTGACGTACCTACCTTTGTCATGCGTCCCATTTCCATGGTGATGGGTGTGAATGTGCGGTGGAAGGGCAGGTCGATGACGTTGTACCCGTTGTCGTGCAGAAACTGGTCAAAGTTCTTGAACTTGGGCTCGTCCTTCTTCTCACCATCCACACCACCACCACCACCACCTCCCTGCGGCGGATGGCTCCCCCCCGACCCCACACTGTCCTGCCGCGACGCAGGCGCACTCGCCCCGCCCTCCTGTTTGCCCGCATCGGAGGCACCGCCACCGCCTGTCTTGGATGCATCTTTGGGCGGCAGTGGCGGCAGGTCGTCGATCTTCATCTTGGCTGCCGGTGCAATGGCGTCCCCACGGATCTCCACCTTGGCCCCGCCCGTCACCTTGAGCCAGAGGAGGTCGCCGTGCCGCACCCCGGCATGCGTCAGAGACGCATCGTCGGCCGCTGTGATGGGCTGGGTCAGCTGCTGGTTGGTGTGCAGCTCCTGCTGCGCTGGCTCGATGTGGCAGTGCTCGGCGATCTTCTGCCGCAGTGTGCCCACGGTGTCCGTCGCCTTGAGAGTCAGCCGCACCCTGCCGCCGGGCGAGTTGACGCGCAGAACGATGTCCGACATCGGTCAAGGCGCTCTTCTCTCGCTGCTGTGTTGCTGATGCTGCAGGCAGAGCGGTCTTCAGGCGCTCATCATCGGGCTGCAGAGCAGTGGGCGACGGCAGATTGGGTGGGTGCGCCTTGTGCAGATACGGGTGGAGAGGACAGATTGAGTCTCGTGAAGATCGATCACAGATGCGTGTCTGGCGTTCACACACAAAGGGAAAACCCACAAGGAAATCAGGAAATTGCTCCTGTTTTGCAGCTGAGCTCGCACACACTAGGACATTACGTGAAAGTGTTCTCCCAGGCAGGCTGTTCGAGAGAAACCACTCCTGGTGCTTTTTTGCGAAGATCAAGTCAGGAAGATCACCGGGAATCTACCTGACGCCGCATCAATCAACAGAATCCAAGACAGTCGAGGTGAGGGGCGGCACCATCTCACTACCCATCCACCTCCCAGATCAGCATCCGTCCAGTCCATGGATGGATCAGCATGCCCTCCACGTGTGTACACGGTGCCCACTGTGTGTGTGTCTTCAGATTGTCAGATCGTCACTCACCCCATGTCCCATTACCTACCCCCCGTCTAGTACGACCACCCCACCCAGCAGCAACCGGGGCTGCTCGGCCCCCCTACATCACCTCCCTGGGTGCAGCCACCACCTACCAGTGGCCTCCAGGCTCACCCGGTGATCCGTGCCCGCGCCCGCCCTCCCAAAAGAGCATCCTGCTGTGACATCCTGGACTGGTGCTGCTGCTGGGGGGAGTCTACACCGCCCCAGACCCCCTTCCCCCCGTCCACCCCGCCGCTGTCGGACAATTATTCGGGCGGTGGTGAATTCGGGCACTGGCGGCGAGGGCAGACTCCACCGATCTATCGGTCACCTTACTCGCCGTTGTCATCATCCGGACAACAGACGCCGGTCCGCTACCTCGGGGACATCGGCAATGTCACCCCCCGCAGCGCCGGCGGGCACTCAGTGACGCTCCCACCGGTTATCAGGCGTCTCCTGGAGCTTCAAGCTCAACAACCCCAAGTCGTCGCGTAAGTGCTCTAAATGTGACACATTGCCTTGGCCTATGTCATTTTTTGCGTGTGTGTGTGTATGTGTGTGTGTGTGTGTGTGTGGTTATTCAGTCCTTCCCCCCAGCCGTCGCGACAATCATCGCGAAAGAGCGTGCGGCAGCAGCAGCCGTTGACGTGGTGGGACATCCTATGCTGTGCCTGGGGGGCCAAGGAGACGACTGACTGACTGACTGACTCTGTCGTTTTGGCCGGACTGTTGTGGTGCGGAGGGATTGAAGGCGGGTCTGTCTGGGGTAGGTTTGGTGGGCTGTGGGTGAGTCTTCTTCCCTGTTTGCTCTCTCCTCCCGAAGCTGCGTGGATGGCCATGCATGCCATTTGTGATCTGTGTGGGTGGCCGGCCACCTGTCTGTCTGTCTGTGGTTCCTTCCCCTTTCTCTGCCCTGCTGCCTACCTCTCCACCTCTTGTTCCCATCAGCAGTCTCATATGGCGGGGCAAACGTCGTGTGTGTCGGGTCGGTAAGGGTAAGAGGGCGCTGGTTGCACCCACCGGGCTGGGCTTGGCGGCTGCTCGCCGATCTTCTGCAGTCAGTGTGCTGTCTGTGATGGCTCTCTTTGGTTTCGGCGCCTCATTTGTCTGTCTGTCTGCGCTTGCACGTGCGTGTGCCGGCAGCCCTCGTGGCTGCAACGCCACGCATTCATTCACTGCTGAGGGAGGGAGGGAGGGAGGGAGGGAGTGGCGGTGAGTGAGCGGAGGTCACTATTCTCTCCTATCACGCACTAGTTTGCGGCCAGGAACAGGTTCTTTTTCTTCGTGTGTTCGATCATAGGGATTGACTTCTGTGTCCTTCTCTTCTCTGAGTCGCAGTGCCCGATTTCTCGGTGAGCATCAGGGCTGCATTCATTTTGACTGCTTGGCTGTGCACGAGTTGCCTGGCCTTCATCTGCTCTGACTGTTTGGCCATGTGGGGAGTGAGTGGGTGCTGGGGAGGAAGGCGTGTGTGTTGGGAGAGAGGGGGCGGGGGGCGGGCGAGGGAGGGAGGGAGGGAAGAAGATGCGAAAGAAACGGAGAGTCTTGACTTCGTAACGAGTCACACTGTTCCGTAAACCAGGGGCTGGCTATTTTTTTTGTGTGTCTTCCTGATTTCTCGGGCTGCCTCAGGATGGCGATGCGTGTGTGGGAGACGCAGCGAATGGACTCATATACATTACATTAACGATACGCAGTCATCTCTCCGTGAATCAGTACGAATCAGTCAATCGTCACACCCACACACCGCCATGCGGCAAGGAGGCAAAAAGAACCTGCTTGCCCCGTCCATGGACAGGCTCACACACGGGCACACAGCACACGAAACTCATCGAATTGAATTGGTCAGTCAGCTGATGAAGGAAAAGTTGGTGGCGATCTTCTGGCAGACTGACGGATCACGAAGATCCACAGAAACACACACACACAATCTTTTGTCTGTGGGGTTACGTGTGTGGATGGCTGCCTGTGTTGCGGGCTGACCGTGTTCGCCATACACCACGCCCTTTTCGCTCTTGCCGCCGGCCGCCCCGTCTGCCGATGTGATATAGGCGTCGAAGTTAGGCTCGTAAAAGACGACCACACTGGTGCGATACTGGCCGCCCCGGTTGACCACTCTGTGCGGCGTCGCCCGCCACTTGCCGCCTGAATGGCATGAGTGGAGAGAGAGACAGATCAATCAGATCGATGACAGACAGCGTCAAGTCAGACGAGAGAGAGGCGTCTTTTGTCCACCGCATAGTGTTGGAGTGTCGTTAGTTACCTGTCCATACGGACAGCATGTCTCCCAGGTTCACAACCAGTGTTCCTGCAGCCAGCCAGCCAACGAACAACCAATTCCAACGAGAAGAGAACCAATCAATCTGTACCGACGTGTGCGTCGGCACGGCATGAGTCACCTACCTTTCCGAGGCGTCACATCGACCCACTCGCCATGCAGCGTCTGCGCCTGGAGGGCGCCTGACAAACAAATAGCCCAATACACGCACGTATACGCACCCATTTCGAATGGTGAGGATATCACGCCACGCCTCCCTCTCTCGTTAGTTTCCCGTTGCTCACTTTGGGTGTCGTCCTGGTTGAGCAGCGTGACGAACCCTGAACGAGACAATCCTCCATGAAGTGACCAAATCACAGCCGGCGCTTGCGCCACTCTCACGTACCGTAGTCTGACCACCAACAGACAGCACACACAGGCCGATGCGTGCAGAGCGTTCTCTCTCTCTCTCTCTCTTTCCTCCCTCCCTCCCTCCCTCACCAGTGTGTTCTCCGCAGCCCACTCCGTTCTGCATGCTGTCCCCTCCCTCACGCACACAGCACGACGCGCCATCTTCAGGCGGGGGATACCCAATCACTCGCAGGCAAAAGAATGACTTGTCCGTTAGGCTGCTAAGCGCGTCCTCGGCCAGGCCAAGCGCCAGAGCCATGATGCGGACCAGCACGTCTCCAAGCTTGAGCATCTGTGCGATGTACTGTGTGTAGAGGGCCTCGAAGGAAGCGTCAGGCCACTGGTTTTTGCCCCTCACAAAGGCATCCTGATCACATCACACAGACGATAGACAGGCAAACAGGCATGACATAAAGCATCATCCATCCATCGTCCACCGATACCTCCCTCCCCCTCAAGGCATCGCCTCTCTGACCATTTTCTGCACGACATCGGTCCGCAGGTGCTGTGTGGGTATCCTGAGTGCCGCCACATCGTTTATTTCCCGCCAGACGTCGAGCGCCTCGTGCAGATCCCTCCGGCCCTTGGTCACATTCTCCCCGACAGCCTGATAACCTGACACGCACGAAGACGCACAGACAGAGAGTGAGTGAGGAGTACAAACAGGCTGTCGACTGTATGTTGTCACCTCACCTCTGCCCATGTATTTGTTGTCGGCCATTTCGATGCGCATCTTGTCGTGCAGTGGCAGCTGGAAGAAGGCCTTGGCGCCTGCATGCACCTCCTCCAACAGACCCTCATCCACACCATGTCCTGCAGTGCACCACATAACAAGCAGAACAGGGAAGATGAATCAAAAGGCCTCTCTCTCCTTTGCCTGCACGCTATCGGCCGGCCCAAGCTTGCCTTTGATGTAGAAGAACCCCACCTCCCTGCAAGCGTTGTCTATCTCTGTGACCACTCGCTGGTGCGCATCGTCCTGGGATGATCCGTCGACGAACGGCGAGATGTCAATCGTGGGAATGGCGTCTTCTGCAGCCATCCCCCAAAGCGTCTGCTTCTTGATTGCTTTCCTTCGAGCTTGCACTTGACAAGATCGCGTGGCTCTTCGGCGGCCGTGCGTTCGCAGGAGTCTCGCTGTTCGATTTGTGCCGAGGTGGAATCGCCTTGCCCTTCTGTGTTCGTTTCACGCCGACCCGAACACAAAAAAGCTCCCCTCGCGCTAAGGGAGCGAGGGAGCCATCTCGGATGCGACGACGCATGCAAATCTAAAGATCGACTGACATGAAGCATCAGCCCATCCTCAGCTCTCCATGACACAAAGTTCTTCCACCCTTGCGCCCACCGATCGGCCCATCCATCCATCCATCCATCCATTCCATCCATCCATCCATCCATCCATCCATTCCATCCCAGTGCACATTCGTTCTCTCCAGCCACACCCAGACATCCACATCGAGTCAGTCACTCAGTCAGTCAGTCAAGTACTCACTGTCTCTGCAGCACGTCCAGCCGCTGGGCCGCCACAGCACTCGCCGCCATGTAGGGAGCGTCCTTTAGCGGCAAGCCGTCTAATGCAGCCTACAACACACCAGACAGACACACACATGTAAGAGAGCAATGTTGGGCCTCCCGGATCGATGCGCAGCTGTCGAGGCACCTTCACAAGCAGCAGCTGGGGTTTGTTGAGCTGCGTGATGATCGAGTTGGCGATGTCGCTGCGCTTGTCTTGGAAGGCCAAATACAGCTGCTCGGCCTGTCAGTTAGTGACATGGACAAACAGACATCGATCCGATCATGCCAGCAACGTCCATTTCTCTTCTCGATCGCATTCATACGTCTCCATGTAGACGTACGTACCAGATGTGTGGCCATCTGCTGGTCAGCCTGATTCGTCTGCGCCAGTGTGGTGCCGACAGCATGATTAGCTGAAGATGCTGCCGACATCGGCACACTCACTGCTGCTTCCGATTTGACAGTCCCTGCAGTCGTGTCTCTGTGCTTGTCTTCCCTCTTTTCCTCCTTCCTCTCAACCGACGCGGTCTCAGCTGTCTTGCGGGTCATGTCAGTGAGCGACCTGAGCGCCGCAGCAACGTTCTGCACCTCCTCGGCCACCCGATGGTCGTTCACCAGACCCCTGGGAAAACAAAGACGAGACGCCACTCGTGTCTCGCGCCTTATCCCATTTATCACCTATGCGTCATTACCTGACGGCCATGGCCATGTCGTCTAGCGCCATTTGCTGGGATGTGAGGCCGAGAAGAGACGGAACAGTCGAGGTGGTTGAATTGTGTGGCGCGGACGCCGGTGGCAGGGGCTGTGACTGGAGCAGCACCAGACTTCGGAGGGCGGCTGCCGTGTCTGCTATCAGCTGCGTGTCGGCGTGGCTGGGCGGGCCGCCCAGTGGCGAAGAACTGGCGGCGCTCGGCGTGCTGAACGTCTTGAGCGCCCTGGCAGTATCGTGGAGGGCCTTCTGACGATTCGGAAGCACGATGTCCTCACCAGCAGCCTGAACACACGCCAACGAGCGAGGAGACAATGCGAGTGCCAATCGCGACCGCGCGCTGACCCCCTTGGCGGCATCCAGGTGGTCTCTCTCTTCCCCAACGAGCGACCTCAGCGCCGATGCGGTGTTGACGGTCTCATCGTCCATCCGACCCACATGCCTTATAGACGTCCGCAGCGCCCCAGCCACATTGTTGACGGCCGACTCCCTGCCAGACACAGCCATCAGCTCCTCTGCCTTGAGTGCCTCCAGCTGGGTGCTGTTGCCCGAGACACCTTGCCGACCCTGCCTGCTGGTTGTGAACAGGTCCAGGAAAGAGAGAGTCATCTGCTGCTGCTGCGGCTGGTCCGGCGTCAAGTGCATCACAGCGAGGGAAACGAGCGCCGCTGCCGTGTCTTTGACGATGAGGGAGCCGCCCATTCCCTGCCCGAGCGAGTCCGAAGCCAAGTCTTTCAGTGCAGACGCAGTGTGGTGCAGCGCCCCTTGTCTGTCGGTCAAAATTCTCTCTATGGTCGACAAGCTTGTCGACGAAGAGGCCTGGGACGCCTGCAGGTGGGAGGGCTGCGTGAGCTCATCGATGTGCCGCAGTAGCGAAGAGTAGCGGCCCAAGTTGAGTGATCCGAGTCTGCCAGTGTCCACAGCAGTCGATTCTGCAGCGAGAAACAGGAAGACAGCAAATAGTGCGATGGGCATGTGGGGTGTGGATGTCCGGGGGAGCAGCCGATGGAGCAGAAAGGGATGGAATGGGGATAGGCTGAGACGCCGAGACTGAGACTCGGGTAAAGAAGGCATTGGAATGATCAGGATCAGTGCAAATGGTGTCAAGGGGGCATACAGGCAGCCTCCCAGTGTCCTAAGCAGCCGAAAAAAAGGGGCGGGCGGAAAAGCTTCGCCTAGGGTGCTCCCTGAAACCGCTGCGAGACAAAGAGTCGATGGAGCAATCATGACGCTTTGGGCGACAGCATGGAGTTCGCTGCGTCTGGAGGGCTGCCTCACGCTGGCAGCGTCAGCGATGCTGGCGCGAGAGTACCGGCTGGCCATCCTCATGACATCCATCGCTGCCGTGGCCACACAAGTGAAGCGGCGGAAGACAGATGGACAGCAGGGAGAAGATCCGAAAGCCAGATCTGTCTTCTACGAGGAGCGGCAGACGCCTCACGGAAGCGTGGCCTTTGCTGTGATTGCCCTGCCGACCCTGATAGCATCCAGCCCCCTGCAGTCATTGCGCAGAGGTCAGTCAGGCTGCACGCCACCAAAGGAATGAATGGATGGATGGCACTGTGGGCACATTCGGTGTGTGTTGGTTGCAACAGGAGTGTACAGGAGCGCGGTGATCTGTTGCCTTCTGGGGTCTGTGCAGGCGCTCATCGACCGCACTGTGGGTCACCTGATGGGTGTGACGGCACACGCCATCGAGCTCATTGTGCTCACGGGCATTCCCAAGCTCATACACCTGTTCACTGCGCCCGAAGGTGATGATGATGATGATCTGCCCTGCCCACACACACGGACGGACGGGTGTTTAAATGTCATTAATCGTGCTGACCTTGTTGTCTGTCGTCTGTCTGTCAGATGTGGGTGCGAACGACTATCTGTCTTGGTTCCCGCTGTGTTTTTTCGTGCTGCATAAGCTGCTGACGTATGCCTGCTTTCGACTGTCACCTAGGTGAGAAGCATCGGCAACAGGAGGCAGGCACGTGTGGACGGACCATCACGCCGTCCTTGTGCTTCCTCCGTTTGGTCATCAGGTGTTACACCTTTGTCGAGGGCTGTCTTGTGTCTGGCTGCGGGGCGCTGGTCGGCGCGGCAGCCATCGTGGGAGCCACCAAGGTATGCAGACAGACAGAGGGGAAAGAAATGCACCACATTCTCTCGCTCTTGCTTTAAATGTCAGGGATTCATCGGCTGGGCGCCTCCTACGACCTTCTCTGCCGTGATGGTGCTGGTGATTGGGAGCTGGATCGCACTCGCCACACTAGTATACCGCACAATCCCGCCCAAGTACAGGGCGGCTGGAGGGCTGGCGGGGCTGCTGGTGGCCATGGGGGTGTTCATGGGGTGGGGGCTGCGATTCCCTGCACACTGGAGGAGATTCGCTGCTGGTCAGCTGGCACATGGCGCGCATACGCACACGGGGACACACACACACGCACACACACATACATCCGACGGTATGTATTGCCTCCTTCACAGATCCCCCATTTATGTGGCTGTTGCGTGCGGTGTTCGAGCACCCCACCCGCCGATGGCTGACGCTCTACTGGCTCACATGCCTAGCCGTCGGCGTGCCAACGATCCACTTCATCGCTCGCATGATACCCACATCCCCACCCACACCCACACACACCCAGACAGAACCAACGGCACAGAACAAGCCAGACCGAGATCGAGATCGAGATCGAAAACGAGGGCGGGAGCGAGGGGGTGAGGATGACGGCACCCAGGTGCAGTCGGAGACGGGCTCTGCGTCAACTGTGGGCACGTCGCCGTCAGCTCAGTGTGTGGAGGACATGGCAGTGGATAACGCTGCCCACAACGGGCTACGTGAACTGAGGAGGGATAATGGCGCGGTATCTGTATCTGCTGCTGTGGGTGGACGGGACGAAAGCGGTGATGGTGACAGGGGGAGGCGGCGGCTGGTCATACTGCGGAAGCTTTTTCATGTGCTGGCGGCCGTGCTCTTCCTGCCGCCCATACAGATGAAAGAGGTACGTCACGTCGATCGATGGATCACTGGATGGATGGATGGTGTTGCGTTCGTTGTGCAGGTAGAGTTCTTGGGTTTGGCGCTCTTTGTGGCATTCATACTCTTTCTTGTCGTCGAAACATGCAGGTAACTTAAGTAATTGCAGACAGACAGACAGACAGACACACAGACAGAAGCCCTGTGTGATGTGATCGTCCTTTTCTACGCGTACGCATTTGGTGTGTGTCGTATACAGGGCGACTGAGGTGATCGGCATCGGGCCGATACTGCAGCAATTTGTCGACCGGTACGTACCGACCGAAGCCCTCACACGAAATCTCCCTGCGGGTGAGGTGACGGTGGTGTGTATGTTGTGGTTTGTGTTGTGTGTGCAGGTATCTGGACGACCGTGACAGCAACGGTTTGGTGCTGACACACATCTATCTCCTGACGGGGTGCGCCATGCCCATCTGGCTAGAAGCCATCGCATCAGAAGCAGGTCAAGACAGACACCACACACACACAGCCAGCTCGCCGACGCGACACATACACCTGTTTGTTCTTCTCGGTGATTCATGGTGTGTGGTGTCGTGTCGGTGGGTGCGGTGCTCAGGTGCGTCCCCCAGTGCTCTGAGGGCATCGCTGGGCATCCTCACGGTCGCTGTAGGGGACGCCGCGGTACGGACGGCACACCACACCACACCCACATAAGCCAGGCAGCTTACGACCATGGTTGGTTGGTTGGTCGGTTGGTTGGTCGATGGATGCCTTGCTTGCTTCAGGCAGCGGTCATTGGCGTGACTGTGGGCCGCATCAGGTGGTGGGGGTCTATTAAAAGCGTCGAGGGTAAGTGCATTAATGACGCTCACCAGACGGACATACATACAGACAGACAGACAGACAATGACACCGCCAGCCTCTGATGTCCGTCTGATGTGGCCCGCCTGCCTGGCTGCCTGCCTGCCTGCCTGCATCCATCGATCAGGCACGTTGGCCTTTGCCCTTGTGGGGTCCATTGTGGCCGTCACATCCGGACTCGCAACCATACAGGTGACTCACATAAAGCCCAATAGACACTGGTAGGTCGTCTCGGCATGGTTGTTGGCCGCGTGTCTGGCAGAACACAGCCGAGCTGCATCTGCTGCGCGTGTGTCTGCTGCTGACGGCCGTCGTAGAGGTGAGTAGGCAGAGAGAGAGAGAGCGTGCGCACAGATGGCAATCTTGCCATATTTGTGAGAGGCTTTTGCTGTCGTGTGCTTCATTCAGACCTTCACGGCAGACGTCGACAACGTGATATTGCCCGTGTTCATTTGCTGCATCTATAATTCGTTCAGGCCAATGCTGGCCGCCCTTCCCGACACCATACTACACCCAGCCACACCCGGCCACCTGACTGAGTGACGATGGATGACGGGCGGCTCGGCCTGCAATACCGCTGTGCACGTGTGTCCCTATTTGTCGAACTGGATGGATCCATGGATGGATGGATGGATGTGGTGTCTGTGGTGTATGTGCAGTCTGCATGCCATGCGTGGGTTGTCTGGACAGCCCAGCGGTCTTTGTTTGTATAGCTTCCTGTCTGTCTGTGTGGTGCACTGCATGTGATGAGGTGACGCCAAGTGGCTGTGCGTGAAGTGAAAGCGAAAAGCAATGCATTCATCGTATTCACCTTCAACCGTTTTACGCTACCCCGCCCCACAATTGGTTTGACTCCCCTCCTCGGCAGTTTTTGTTAGTTGCCAATAGGGAGCCGCTGTGACGCCCGTCAGGTAAGTGTGCCCTCCCAGCACCACAAACGCCGCCGCTGACTCGAGTCGCTTCTGCTGCCTGCCTCCAGGCGGTGTTATCAAGTGGGTAGGTCACATCAATCACCAGGATGGCCACCGGGAGACCCAAAGCCGTGTTCATCATAGATGGCGCCTACGTACAGGTCAGGTGCACACCCACCTACACCAAACAACACCACAGCCCAGCCACACGAGACGCATTGGTGTGCATCAATCACGACCACCGTGTGTAGCGGTCTGGTGTGTCTGGTGGTACGTGTGTCTGGTTTGGTGTGCTTGGTTGACTGTCTGACTGACTGGCTGACAAACACATCACACGAATCATCAGGCGAATTACAAGGAGTCTCAGCGTGACCGATCTGACCTGATGGGTGAGGTGTTCTGCCACCGGATGCTCAAGTACGTGCAGGACACCCTGGGCGTCGACAACTCACAAACATTCTACTACGACGGAGACCCCGACAAATGGTAGGTATACATGTGATGTGATGGGCCACACACGCCTACCACAGAGATAGCCTGGCCTCGGTCATCTATCTGCCTGTGGTGTCTGTCTGTCGTAGGTACTCGAAGGTGACTCGTGGCAGGGGTCGTGATGCAGACCGCCAGAAGCGCACCGAGTTCCACAGCTTCCTCAGGCAGCAGCGCATCAACGTGCAGCTATTTGACTTCAAAAAGCAGGGCGTCGGCTACAGCGACACCACCGGCGAGAAGTCACAAGGTGGGCGGGCGGTGACGCAGCAATCGGTTCACGTCTGTAGTGTCGACCTCTGTGTGTGTGTGTGTGGTGTTGGCGTCAGGTTGGGTGCAGCGCGGGGCTGACTGTTCCATCGCTATGAAGATGCTCGAGACGGCCTACGGTATATATGCCGGCGCACCTGTCGCTCACAGTCACATTGGTTGCCGATCTCTCTGTGTTTGGTCTGGCCTCTGTGTGTCAGAGAATTCGCCCGACTTCATCCGTGCGGGGCAGCCGGCATCTCCGACGGCGGCCGATCAGGGCGAGAGCAGCAGCAGCCAACACGCACCGCCCGACATCAAGATGATAGTCCTGTAAGTAACCAACCTTACGAACGAACAGAGAGGCCTGATGTGTGTCAGGTCAGGTTGATCCGATCCATGTATGTGTTGTTGACTGGGCTGGTTGTGTCAGGTTTGCGGGTGACTCGGACTTCTCTGAGGCGGTTGACAAGTGCCGCCAGCTCAAGCTGAGAGTGGCCATCGTCGGATACTCACACTCCATCTCGTAAGCTAAGCAGGCAAACCACCCCACCCATACACACACACACACACACACAGAGAGGCGAAGCACAGCTGAGCTGCCCATGTGTGTCTGTGTGTGTGTGTCTGTGTGTGTGTGTTGTGCAGCGGTGAGTTGAAGACCAAACCCAAGGAGGTGCGGATCATCGAGTTGGACCAGCCGCCCCACTGCCACCAGTGGCCCACATACAGCATACCCAAGGACAAGACAACAACACAGCAACATCAGCGCAAGAACCGCAACAAGCACATCCAAAACGCCAGCGACGGCCCCATCGACCTCACACAAGCCGACAACAACGGCGCACCCACAGCAGCAGCTGCAGCAGCCGCCCCCGCCTACCAGCCCATCCCTCCCCTCCCTCCCCTCCTGCGCCCCCCCTTACCCTTCTCATACCAGCAGCAGCAGCAGCAGCACACCAGCCCCATGTTTCGCCCGGTCGGCAGTGGGCCGGGTGGCGTCGCTGACGCCAGTCCGAACCAGCCAGTGGCACAGCCCCGCGGCGGATTGGCACAACAGCTCGAAAAGGATCGCACTGGCGACCTGGGGGCAGGGCCGCCGAGGGATGGTGCTGGGGCAGCTGGGGGCATGATGGACGTCTCGGCATCTGGAGGCGTGGCTGGTGGGGGTGGTCGTCGGCCGCCCGTGTCGCCCGACTCGCAGCCGCTGCCGATGGCTGGCGTGACTTACACGTATCAGCCGCCGGACTTCGACTACGACCTTGACGAGGGTAGCAAGAGGGCGCTGACAGAGGTTGTGCGGGGGACCATGATGCACACGGCGATGGGCGACTGGATGGGGGCGCTGGAGAGCGGCATCAAGGGGGCCTTCCCGTCGCTGGGCTTCCTGTGCGTCAAGGGCAGCCACATGGAGATGACCTCCACCATGCCCTTCTGCCTGTACCACGATAACGACGATCGGGTGAGTGAGCAGAGGAGCATGTGATCCACACACACACACACAGCCGTGGCTCTCGGTGGCTTGTGTGTCTGATCAATGAATGCAGTCTGTTGTGGTGTGTCTCTGCACCAAGCACCAGCAGTCCCCCGCTGCCGGAGCGTCCCCCCAGCCCGCTCCCAATCTGCCGCCCACCTGCACATTCAATTCCCGCTTCGCCGCCAAGGACATCGCTGACATCCACACCGCCCTTCACAACATCCTCAACAAAGGCAACGGCGATGCACAGGATGCCGAGCCCCTGCCGGTCCCCCGCGACGAGGCCGAGGAGCGGCACCAGCAGGAGCAGATTTTGGACGAGCTGCTCGACCGCATTGGCGACGACCACACGGCAGCAGCGGCCAGCCGCCACGGCTTCGAGCTGAGCTCGGACGGCTCTTGTCGGATCGCCGTGTTCCACGTGAGCGACAGGGCCATGACGCGGCGCGTCCAGTGGGCCGACTGCCATGTGCTGGTGGTCAAGTGGGGCAGCTAGGCTGGTGGGGGGTGGCTGGGAGATTGGTGGGGCGCTGCATTCATTGTGTGGCGCGAGCCACGTGGGCGAGAGATAGATGAAGAATGATTCATTCGTATGTACAGAGAGGGGGCCTTGGTTGGTTGGTTGGATGGATGGTTGGTTGGTTGGGTGAGATGGAGAGGTGTTGTGAGAAGAGAAAGGGTTATTTGTCTCCTCTGCAACGCTGCCTGCCTGGGTGCGTCTGCTGGGTGTGCCTGTTGTGTTGGTTGCGTGCGTTGTGTCCTCCCATTCATTCAATCATCTTGCGGATGAACGAGAGGTCACGACGCTGTTCACCACACACTGATGCACACACCACACCCAACGTCACGCACTGCAGGAGCTGGGCGATTGAATGAGGACCGAACTCGTACATCATCAGACCCATTGCATGACTGCTGTTGCATCGAGCTGCGAATCACATACCTGCCGCTAAGTTCGTTCGTACAGACGCAAACTGGTTGGCGATGGCAGCATCAGTATGTAGCATTTCCCATAATGGGCGCAACAAACAAGGGGAGCTCAAGGTCTTCAATATATTTCCTGCGTGAAGGCAGTCCAGACGCGACACACACGAGGGTACAAGAGGGGCCAGCGAATGCATCAATTTGTGGAGTGTCTGAGCCAGCCGGTCTCACTGCACTGCCCCACTGCCCCACTCACTTGTATTTTCCAGGGTCCGGTCCGAAGATGCTGTGCGGACAGAAAGGAGACATGATGCAAGGAGACACGATGCAAGTCATTGCAAGGTTGCATGAGGATAAGTCACCTGATGTGCCAGGGGAACAGCTGGCTGATGGCCTCCACGCGGTCGCGCACTTGCTTTTCCTCCGCAGTCTGGTCACCCGGCTGTAGCAGCCAGACCTTGTTGCCTGCATGGTCGCACCAAAGAGACATACGCATGATCGCATGAATGCACCATATATAGCGTGCCGCTCACCCAGGGCGTACTCGACAATCTCGTTTGAGATTCCACCCGTCCAGGTGAACTTCTTCTCAAAGATGGAGGAGTGGCCAAAACCAAACACCAGGATGCAAGCAGTGACTGTTGTGCCGCCATCAATCGTACTGCTTGTTGAAGTTCGTGTCCAAGTAGAGGAGGTGAGGCAGAATTGTGAAAGGTGTCTGTCCGCCTCGCGTCAATTCGTCAAGGGCCTGAAAGGACCCGAACAAGGCGGAGACACAAGGGGACAGCCCCAGCCGCTCAGACGGGTCGATGCGTGCAACTTGGCTGACTTTTGCATTCGCCTTGGCGGATTTGTGGAAAAGCTTCGCAAGCTCGTGAGGCTTTTTGTCGAGCTTGTCGAGGAGTTCCTGTGCGTAGCTGCAAAGACGAGAATGTGTCGACTTGTCATAGATCCGCAGAGAGAGAGCTTACGTTGGAGCGATCCTCTTGTGCACTTTGGGCTTGAACAGCTGATCGCGGAACGACTTGACGGCCTCCCGTCCGCGGACTTCCATGGCCGTCTCGAGGTCCATGTATCTGATGCCATCACAGAGACAAGGCGCATTCTCCAGTCGTGCACATACAAGTCAAGCCGGACCCGAGCATTGAGCGGTCATTCATGTTGGCGCTGCCAATCTTCACACAAACAAACGAACAAACAAGCAGAAAGAAAACAAGTGCAGCGTCTGAGCAGCTAGCTCATCGTTCGCTACTGCTTACAATCGCATACTCTCCGTCCACAATCATTGCCTGCACACATAGCCGCCAAGAGAGAGAGGAACAAATCAGCGGAGACACATGATAAGATGTATAGTATAGTGTCCTTCTTTCCTTGCTGTGGACGTATGTATTGTAGAAGACGATCTCCCCGTTCCGACTGTCAAAGTCGGGCGCCTGCTCTTTTCCCTCTTTTGCCTGTTGGCGTCGTTTTTCCATCTCTTTGTTTGTCTCGAAGTCAGCTTTGCCCTGATGTGTACAAGAGATGACGACGCACACATGCTTAAGTGCCAGACACAACAATCAGGCGCCTTACATGGAAAAGAACAGTAAAGTAGTTTTTCAGTTGCTTGCTGGTCACTTTGTTGGTGCCCGTCTTGGCGTCCTTCTTGCGTGCCTCCTCCAGGACTCTCTCCAAGGCCGGAATGAGCCCGCAATCCTTATCTGAAGGTCGGCAAGTCACAATGCAGCCCTTTTGAGCACCCATGAGCCTCTGTGTATGATGTCGGAGTACCGAAAAGGGTGAAGTATCGGTTGTAAAACAACTGAAGGCACACGCAGACAACAGAGCTGTGTCAAAGCAGACATCCATGCGCCTGTGTGGCTTACGATCGCTTCTTTTGCGGACATTGATGTCACGAGAACGACCGAGAAGTCCTCATTTTTCTCGATTGCTCGCTTGATGCGCCTGTACATCGATAAACAACACTCATTTATCATCTCAACCTTCTCTTTCCACCTACTTGTAAAGAGACTTGCCCAGCTTGTTTTTTGCGTGGAAGTTTTCACTCTCGGAATCCCACCTACAGCTTTCTGGCAGGTCGGCTTTCAAATCTCCGGAAGCCGGCTTGAATCGCGGCTGTATGAAATCATGCGGATCACTTATTAAATCCGGGTTCGGAGAGAAGGGGCGCTGAAAGTGATAAGCAGAGGGAGCAGACATCAGTCGTCAGGCATGTCGATAATCTGCTTCTTTCAGTCGACCAGGGCACTGGAGATAAAGTACTGATTCTCAATGTAGACATACTACAGATGGCAACAGACAGAGACATCAACCAGGTGAGAAGGGGAATTACCAAGGGCGCCTCTATGTGCTCTCTATGTATATAAGGTGAAATCTTCTTTGCGCCGTCGATGAGTCTCAGAGTGGTGTCGTAAATGGTCGTGCTGAGTATACACAAGAAGACACAGCGAACAACGAATGTTCATTCGTGTGTATGTTGGAGACACTTGTCGGCTTTGCTTACATGGGATAAGAGTAGCCTGCATTTCTTAGCCAGTACCAGTCGCCAGTCACAAGCGCACGGCATTCAGCGTTCGTCGCGCCAGTTGCACTTGCGTATTTGCCTCCCAATAGAGAGCGATTAATCTTCCTGAGTCTGTCGCCACGTGAAGTTTTGTCAACCTTCAAAACTTCTTTCCACTCGTCGGCAGTGGGCGGCAAGTTGTTGGATTGGCACTGAAAAGGAGAACCGCGCTTTCTTTGCTTTTTGTTTTATGGTGTTTACCATGTATTCGAAGATTTTTTCTCGATCTGCAAACAGACTCGTGAGCTTGTAGGCATCGAAGTTCTCTTTGAGGGTCTTGCATCCCTTTCTCCATCTGGCACGCACCGGAACGGCGGTAAAGGGGCAGAGCGAATATGAGGCAGCAGCAGAGGAAACAAAGAGATAACGCACCGATTGATGTGCACAGATGCGATGTCCGCAGCCGCTTTGCCAGTGACTCGGCACTGGGTGTCATGATGGTGCTTCTTAGCCGATCTCCGCTTCATGTGGTAGCGGTCATGTGAAGGTGTTTGGAGTTTGTCAGTATAAATGTCAATCCCTACGGTAGACACACACAATCCGCCGGAGTGTATGATAAGCTGGATGCACAACTTTATATACCGCCAACATAAGCGATTTCTCTGTTGATGATGACATTCTTCACGTGTGCCATCCGTATTGCCTCCATATTATCACCTGGCTTCTGGACTCACATGGATCAAAGAGAAGAACCGATGATACATACAAACACATGACGCCAAACCTTGTAGGAGCACTCAGTATCGTCCTGCTTGTATGAAGCGTAACCCCTGCACAGATTTGTACGAGTTGTGAGAGACATGGTATTGGGAGGCTTTTGATTTGGCGACTAGCGCAGCCGACCAGTCGGAGAAATAGAGGATACCGAGCTCCCAGAGTTTCTCCATAGTGTCGATCTTGGTGTTGTACTCATCTTGAAATCGGCCGGCGGCCATCTCTATATAGCACGACACAGGCATTGGATGTTGCGGGCAGGATGAGAGCCTCCTGATCGTGTCTCTTACCGTAGCCGAGTACGTATACTTTAACGCCCTGCTCACGTTCAGTCGGAGGAATACAAAGTCACAACACATGAGTTGCTTACCGTAAAATAGAGATGCCGCAAGACGTTTTGCAGTGTACTCTCTGGCTGGTGGGAGCCCATGAGAGGTGTATCGAGGTCGGTGTGCCAGCCGCTGAGATGAGCGAGAAGCTGTGAGTCGACAGAGAATGATATGCTATATCGCCTACGCGATGATCACTTCGTTCTCCCTCCCTAGCGGATTAGAGTTCAGACGAGGGCTCATCAGTCTGCCAATGACAATGCAGGATGAAAGACGTATGCACCTGTCGATTCCCACTTACAAGCAATAGAGTTCCTGGTTTCGACGACAAGACAGCAGCAGAGTGACGATGGATGAATGTTGCCTGTGCACTCATGAGTGCTTCGAATGTCTTATCTGTGCCTCCATTCTCATACTTCGTAATAGCCTAGGGGTGCCAGGGGGTGTCCCATATACCACCACGGATCGAGTTTCTTTTCCTCTCCGAGACGGTATGTGAACGATTGCTCCGAGAGGGAAGCGACGAACGGAGCAAAAGTGCCTGCATTGCAACACATTACAGGTGTCCAAGAGTCCCTGTGCCATTTAGAGTCCCCCAAACAGCGGGCTGCTCACACTTCCGCCAGGTGAAGGTCTGTGCAGACAGACAGACAGACAGACAGGCAAACAGGCAGGCGGAGATACAGAGTCGTGCAGACCGGCACATAGAGAAAGCGCACCGTTTCGTCCCACTGATCGTTGATGAACCGCCCGCACTTGTCAGTCTCGAACTCTTCGGGACCGGATGAGCCAGCGTCGTCTTTGGCGAACGGGGAGCCCTTCGAAAGGAACGACGGCTGGCCCAGACCTCTCACTGAACATAGAGCAGCACCTGCACGTACAAAGACATCGAGCAAGATGGTCGGCGATGCGCATTGCAGTGCAAATCTTCGCGTACTCGTCTCATTCCGCTGCCCGTTGCAGACGGTGGCTGCTTGGAAGGGCGGGACGGCGGAAGCGACGAGCAGAGCGAGAAGCGAAGAGGCGAAGAAATGCATGTCTTCCGCTCCGAGAAGATCCTTGGAGACGGCAAAGCCCCCGGGAGCCCCCGTGACATGTGTTTGCGAAAAAGATCTGACGCGAAAGGCATGAGAGCTAACTCGCGCAAGAACAAGAGAATGTCAGCATAGATACGAAATCATTCGAAGCACTCAAAAGCGCAAGATGAGTGAATGAATGATTCCTCAACGGCTGCGACAAACGGCTGCATCCCCCACGGCCAAGAAGGACGATGCATGGCTCAGTGCTGCCCTGCTCTGCTGGAAGGGTAGCTATCGATTCATTCAAGCGGCCAAGCCATGCAGGAATAGATGACGTCTCAGACTCACGCGGACTTTGCCTCACTCTTGAGTCTGCGGCAGGCTGGAGGGGCCGTCCACTCATTGCCCTATCAGCGGCGCCCAATAGAGCATTCTCACAAGCGCCTTGGGGCTCGTCACACACGTACTCATAAATGAGACCTGCACACACGAATGTATGCGGCGCACCAAAACACGGATCGATGGATGCAGCCAGCCACGTGATCGACTCCCTGTCTGTGTCATGCAGGCAGACTGAGTCCGTTTCATAGTCCCACCTTGGGCTTTGTCTCGCCGTGTTGGGCTATGGCGTCGATTTTGGCCTGTATGTCGCGTATCTCCCTCACCGACATGCCCCCAATAACCACACACACAACCACATCCGCGCTGGCCGGCACGAACCGACCCGCCTGGGTGGCGCCTCGCAGACCAGTGGCAGCAAACAGACCCCTGTAACACAACACAACTCGGAAGGATTGATCGTGTGAAGGCAGGAAGATTTCCTCTGTGTGTGTGTGTGTGTGTGTGTGTGTGGTGACCTGGCTGCGAACGAGACGAGGTCGCCCAGGGAAGCCCCTTCCACAGGAATGATGTCGCAGGGGGCGCCACTGGCCTGGTGGGGCCGGAGCACCTCGTCCACCACACGACACAGCCACAGCTCGTCAGCATGGTGAGACGGTGACCCCTCTGACTCGATAAACACTTTCCTGATAGATCCATCCATCCATCCACACGTGAGCACTTCCGTCGTTTTTCGTGTGGTATCTATCGTGCATTAGACGTGCCTGAGTTTGGTCTGGAGCAGCTCCCTGGCATCACGGACGGCACTGAGGCGGCCCTCCAGAAAGTCGCGCACATCGGCTGCACACTCACGCACAATCCATCCATCCATCCATCAAAAGGGATTCACCTCATCCCTTGCTCATCTCCTGACTGACCTTGTGAGCGCGCTGCTTTGGTGGCGACGTGGTTGACGATCCAGTCCGAGATGCTAACTGAGTCGGGGTCCTTGATGCCCCAGACATCAGGGCCCCTCCTGGACGCCAGTGCAGTCATCAGACACGCCAGCGAATCGAACACAAAGGCCGCATCAGCCTCCCCAACGTCAGGCTGCGCACCTGACCGACCAAAGGAACACACAACACAAGATGGATCGGGAGAATGGCTGGGTGCTGCTTGTCTGTTGGCCTGCTTACGTGCCAGTGCCGCTGCGGTGTAGGAGCCACCGAGAATCGCATCCACCACCTGAGCGGGAGGGAACAGACGACGAGGCAACATGCACACACAGCCAATGAATGCCCCCCCAGCGTGCCTGCCTGCCTCTCATTGCACATACATACATACGTGTGAGAGCAGGTCTCCCTCCAGATACACCGGGAGATACACATCCAGCAGTAAAAGGTCAAACAGCACACGGAACACCTGCAGTGCACCGCACACACCAAACACACACACACACACACAGACAGTCTGTCTGCATTCATTGTCCATCCGTCCACCCTTCAGGGCTCGCTCACCTTGCCCAGCCGTGTGTGTCGCGTGGCCTTCCTGTGTGAGAGCGCCTCCGCCAAGGAAGCCATAGGCTTGCTTCCCCCGCTCCCCCCTCCCCCCTTATCGACACCCACACCCACGCCCACGCCCACACCCGCCCCAGCCTCCCCATTGATGCACGCAGACACCTCATCCAGAATGGTCGCCAGGTCCTCGTAGTCGTCGCCATTCCTCCCGCCCTTGAGTGAGAGTTTCTTAAGGAGGGCGGTGAGCAGGTCGCGCATCGACGGCTGCACTTGCAGCAGGTCGGGGCGAATGCTGATGGATGGATGGATCGATGGATGGGACACAAGAGACAGAGTTGCGGGCTCTCTTGTTTGTTTGTTTGTTTGTTTGTTTGTGAGTCGTACCTGAGCAGCTGTTGTATAGCAGCAGATGCGTCGCTGGCTCCGACAGGCTTCTGCCACGACCACAGATCACATGACGCTTTCCCGCCACGCATCCCTGCCAGCCGACAGATGCCCTTCCGCCACCCTCTCGGCTCTGGTGCATCCTCGCCCACACCACCACCACCACCCTCACAAGCAGCGGCAGCAGCAACCGGCTCCTCTGTCGGTGGGGCGGCCTGCTGTTGGACGGTGGGGTCTGTGTCCTCCATGTCCATGTCGAGATCGAAATCCCATCCGCCGCCCGGCGCCTCGCTGGACGGCTGGTGCTGGGGGCTGCTTTCGTCAGACGGCACGTATTCTGCTGGCGGCTTGAGCGCACCGGCCAATGCGGCACAGTTGCGGAACACCTTGCCGAACTGACAGAGAGGAAAGGAGAGAGAGAGAGAGAGCGAGTGCTGCTTTGGCGTGTGGGAGGGGAGGGCTGTTGGCTTTGTTTGTCTCACTACCGCGTCATGCGAGGTGGCTGGTGTGCCTTTCTCGGCCCATCGCAGAGCGTTCTCCATCATGCAGTCCCTCACCGGCTCGCAAGGCGTCGACAGATCAAGCGTCTGTAGCGAGCAAGCCAGCAGACACAGACAGCAGCAGGACAGACAGTCCACACACGTCAGTCAGTCAGTCACCACACAGCAGGCATCCCATCCGCTCACCCGATCGATGAGGACGACAGCCACCTCCTGGCCCCAGCCCTTTGCTGCCGCGGCGTGTGAGAGCCTGTCCACCACACACCGGCCGACCATGGCTGCCGACTCTCCTAGAGCAAAGACGCGGGGCGGCTGGCCGCCCGACAGGTCCTCTGCGTGGCTGACGATGGAAGCAGCCAGATGGCTGAACGACTCCTGCGGACAGACATACAGAGAGGGAAGTGTATGCAGCTTAGGTGGCCCTCCCGACCCACCCTTAGTGCCCGAGGGAGGGAGTCGACGGCCATGTCGCTGAGGGTGATGCTCACATGCCCCACATGACCACCGCCACCTCCTCCTCGCAGATGGCTCCGCTCACTGCATCCCATGCATTCAGTGAGTGGAGACAGACAGACAGACAGACAGACAGACAGATGCCCATCCATCCATCCAGCTCGCGTCACGTCATACACACATTTCGACTTGCTTCTGTATCCTGGCGATGTCGTCAGCCAGCAGAGGCAACAGACCACTGCTGCCTGAACACACACATGGCGGAATGGAATGGTCTGTGACTACCCATGATCTCGATGGATGCTCACCGTGCATCACTTTGAAGCTCGGCGTCAGCACAATGGGCGGCACGCGACAGGGCATGATGGTGATGTGGATGGACGATCGGCTGCTCCGATTGCGGGTCGCCGTAGACAGCAGTTTCTCCCTCAGCCCATCGAAGCTGAAGGCGGCCCTGCCCACACACGTCGTCATGTGCTGGATGTGCTCGCTCTCCTGACACACCGCCGCCAACACACACACACACAAGGCCCTAAGATCCTTCTATCGCCCATTGTGTGAGCATACCGTGAAGTGCGACAGCACAGTGATGGCCGTGCACTCCTCCACACACGCCAGCGCCTCAAGTGACCTCTGCAAAGGCTGCACGAAGCCGCTGACGACACACACGACGGAGCCCCGCCACACACGCACCATGCTGGAACGAGAGAGGGAGGGAATGCACTTGGGCTCATCCGGCAGAAGGAACGTTGCCGCAAGCGGGACGGCGGTGCCATCGGCAGACGAGAGGAATGGGTGGAGGCCGAGGGATGCATCGCGGTCCATGAGCAGCACGGCGCCGTCAGCTGATGCCTTGTGGCTTCGCAGCCAATGAACAACGTCACTCGGCGCCTTTGAAATGGGAGATGACTCGAAGAGGTCTGACAGCCGCCGAGATGACATCGCGGAAACAGCGGCAGATCTGCACAAAGCGCGCATTTGATCTCGCAAGCAAGTCAAATCGCAACGATGGCAGGGTAGGAGGGGCAGCATCATGAATGACAGGAGTTGGGCCTCGCTGGAAGGAGGCAGCTGGTCTCGCAGGCGTCGCACACCACGTGCCGGCGCCCCTTCTGCAGTAGCGCCAGCTGCAAAGGGTAAGAGGCGGCGGCCTGCATATGACGACGTGGAGGAGGAGGAGGAGGAGGAGGAGGAGGAGGACATGTTTGATGAGGAGGAAATGAGCAGTGACGAGGAATCGGATTGGGATGAAGACCGTCCCGTCGCAAAGCGCAGCAGAGGGAAGCAGCCGGCGGGCAAGCGGCACAAGGGGGGCACTGGGCAGCCTCCAACAGCAGCAGCTGCAGCTGCTGCTGGGGCGGCGGCGGCAGCTGCGAGCGGCGGGAGCAAACCCGCCAAGAAGCAGAAGAAAGGCACAAAGGCGCAGCAGCGGCGCACCGCATCGGCGGCGGATGTAGACATGGAGGTGAGGGAAAGGGACGCAGGCAGCACACTTCTGTGTGTGGGATGTGTGGCTGCTCTGTGTGTGTGTGTGGCTGCTGTGTGTGCGGCTGCTGTGTGTGTGTGTGTGTCGGTCAGGATGTGTTTGAGAAGACGCCCGACGATGCGCTTGAGGCGCTCGATGGCGTCGCGAAGAAGCTGCAGACGCACCTCAAGCGAGTTGAAGAGGCCAAAGCCAAGGTGAGAGGGCGAGGCGCGGGTTGGGTGGCGACAGAGAGGCCTTGTCGATCGTGGTGCTGTGCTGTGTTGTGCTGTGTTATGTTGTGGTGATGTATGTGTCCGTCAGGCCCAGCAGCTGTATCAGGCCAAGAATGGCCTCCTTTCCCCCGACTCAGAGACCACAAACAGCCGCATACAGGTCGGGAAGAACACACACCACCCAGACCAATACCCATGTGTAACACTCGCCTTGTCTCTTTTGGGTTCTGCGATCGATTAGGATTTGGATCGTCAGTTCCGGGTTTGGACCAGTATGGTGATGCGCGACGCTCGCGAGGAGGTGGACCACATCGACACGAGTGCCAAGAAGCATCTCGACGAGAACTTCGCCAAGCTGCGTATCATCCAACACAAAATGAATCGACTCAACCAGGATACGACGGTGTGGAATCACACACACAGGGAGGGAGGCCCTTATGAGCGCTGTGTTTCTATCGACTCGCCTGTCTGTCTGTTTGCAGGACTGCTCGTTGCTGGAGGATCTGCCTGAGGCGCTGTGGGTCAGCACTGAGGAGAGGATTGGAGTGGGTGGCCACCTGGGCTTCGCGGCCTGCATGCAGTCGCTGGCGCGCGTCAACACCCAGTTCAAGGACCTGTGCGACAACAGCAACATGCACCCCATACTCGAGCTCAAGAAACCCCCTCCCGACACCATCATAGACCAGTGGAGCGGTAAGTATGGCACACACAAAACAAACACAATGGACGGGGGGACGTGTGGTGTGGAGGGGGCGGTGCTGTGTGGGTGTGTGTGAATGGCATTCATATCTTCTCTCTGGCTGTGTGTGTCTGTCTGTCTGTCTCTCTGCAGTTAAGCTGTCTGCCTGCCAGCGTCTGTCAATCGACCACCGGCCCACCCCGGCGATCGTGCGGCTGCTCGAGGCCCTCGCGCCCTCCCTGCAGGTCGTGGACCTCCGCGGCCGAGCGACCCAATACGAAGACGCCATGGGTGACCTCTTCCGCCGCAGCCGCAAGCAGAAGAAATGGGAGCGTCTGCGGGACATGGAGCTGTTCAGCAAGAAGGTGGGCGAGGAGAGGGCCGAGAGCATCCTGCCGGTGAGCAAGGCACCTGTGGTCTTCCCGAAGCTGCGACGTGCCACCGTGAGGAGTCGGCCGTGGGGCGAGATACCTCACAAGAGGGCGTATCAGCTGCCCGTTCTGAGGGCCCTGAGACTCGGCGGCACCCATGACGGTGCGCCATGGGTGCGGCAGGCCACGGGCGGCCTCCACTCACTGCATCTCCTCTGCGATGCGGTACGATCAATGTGCCCTTCAGCCACCCACCACACTAAAGGAACGCCAGAAATGGGCCACTCATTCACTACTGCTCTCTTTGTGCAACTCTCCTGTTGATCAGGCTGAGTATCGGCTTGAGGAGTCGTTGAGCGCAGTAGGCACGTGTGTGAGCGGGACTGAATCGCCCGCCACCCTCACATCGCTGACCGGTCGGCTGACCCTGGGAGCGACGGTGCACGGGCTGCTCGAGATGATGAGCAGCCCTGGCGGAGTCGGCGGACAGGGGGGACGGCTGCGGCACATCCAGATGGGAGTGAGGTCGGGGATACGGGACA